TTTGACAAAAAACGGCACGGAATACCGTTCCATGAATTGCAGTTTAGATAATGAGATAACACCTTATTTTTGGGTCAGGGTTGAACACTAATTACTCGCCGAGCCAATTCGCAATTTTATTTAGTCCAATAGACAAAAAATCCATCATCACTCTCTCGTCAGTGTCGTCACTACCAATACTCTTTTTTACATACATCTTTTGTACGATCTTGCATTGTACACATATACGTACGGGCCGGTACGGCTATAACCAAGCCAAGTCACTTGTCTTGGTTGCAACGTGTATCTGTACTCGTACATCTAGATGCAGTATGAGCAGAAAGCAAAAAGGTCATTAAATATCCTTTTGGGGATTCGCCCACTCAACACTATCCGATGCCGACCTGGGGTGGTAGTGCCGGAATAGATAGATGCCCGTGGAATACGTATGTAGCTTCCAATCCCCGTATTTCACAGCAATAAGGAATATTTTTTACTTATTGTAATCATGAAATTACTGCTGCGGTACTTGTATGCCGAGGAAATTAATTTGTGTAATGGATCCATTGAGGTATTATCTGGATAAACGGACCATGAGTTGCTGCTGCTGCCGATGTTCCCACAAAAGGCTAAAGCGTTGCGCAACTGATGCGAAACGCAGTCAGTCAGGATGTTTTTAATCCATTGGCACGCACCGTGCACCGTACGCGTGCAGTGAATGCTACGTTACCCATTTGGACACTTACCAGTAATTATACTGTTCTTTGGTACCTGTAGTTGCTAACTATACACGTAAATAAACGGCGTGCAGTATTCCGTAATCACAGTCAGTTCATTCGACGGCGTTCTTACGTATTCGACCGTTTTGTTTAGATTTTATCCTAAAATAATTGTGCCATCGTAGTCTTTCGGGAACTGTTGGAATTTGTGAGAGCATAATTTTAATCGCAGCTACTTGCAGCGATTTCCGCCCGAACATGCACAGTACTTGTACAAAAACGCGTTGTAGCCGCGCGTTACGAATCGCACTTTTTACCTAATAACGGATAAGGGAGGGCCTTCCCGATCTGCATCATGGACAGATATGATCGACCGTGTTTATTGTTAGAACTGGAAATGTGTTACGTGTACCGGTGTACGTAATCATTAACTGATCTATGACTGTACTATCTTCATGGCTGACCAGGAAGTGTAACGCCCACCCAGCACACCTATCCCTAATGATAATTAGACTTCTGCGTGAAGTGGCGACTAATGTATGAGTGTTATGTTACCGACTGCGCTGTGTAAGCGAGTGTTGTACAGAATATCTATGAACATCTTGTGGACGTCACTGAATGAACAACTGCGGACGTATCTGAGTTGGTTCATTAGTACAGTTAGTACGGTAGTCAGTTACCACTTTCCTAAAGACCACTATTTAATTTTCAAGATTTAGCGCTTACAAAACAACTGGCATTTGCCAACGTCATGCTTGAAGGCGTCGAAACGACTACGAGATGGGCATTCATGATTCGGATGCGAGGCAGGGCAGCCACATTCTCCTTCATGCTCACCTGTTGGTTTGGCGTTCTGGGCATATTGGACAACGCTGCTGTCGGCGGGAGTGCCTATGTTCTGCAAGAAGTCTTTCGCGATGACTTCGCTGAGGATGAATTAAACCTGACCCGCTGGAACGCCGCCGACGTCAAGTCTGAGGTGAACAACGAGCTGCAGTACTACCGACCGGACAACGTCTACCTCTTCAACGGCACGCTGCATCTCGTCGGTCGGCAGGAGGATTATGGCGGCTGCGCGTACACCTCGGGGCGGGTGGATACCCGTGGCAAGTTCAACTTTTCCTACGGCGAGAGTGAGTGGCGGGCGCGGGTCCCCAGCGGGCGAGGTCTCTGGCCGGCACTGTGGCTGGTCCATCCGGAGTGTGCCGCCGGGATTCCCTGCTTTGGCTACTGGCCACCGTCCGTCAGTTTGGAAGCGCGTGGCCAGGAGCCCGAGGTCATTAGTGTCACGGCATTCTACGTACCCACGAACGGCCCTGAGATTCGCAAATCCGCGCAGCTGGTGGACATGAAGCAGGACATGTCGCGAGATTTCCACGTTTATAAGATGATTTGGACGACGGAGGCGCTGCTGTGGTTTGTCGACGGCGCGATGGTGTTCTCCATGGTGGGCTCCGAAAAGGTACCCACGGTGGCGCTGCAAGTGGTGATGAATCTGGCCGTGGGCGGTAATTTCGCCGGGGAGCCCGACAATAGTACGCGGTTCCCCGCGGAGCTCCTCATCGACTACGTGGTGGTGCGCCAGGGCGACATCGACATATCGTCGTGGGTGAACATTACAACGGGCAACCAGGATGTTATACCGGGACCGCCGGTGGTGGTTATCCTCTTGGGAAGTCTCGTGGGAGTGCTAGTCGCCACATTAACGGGCGTTTTTGGTGGTTGGATGTACCGGCGGCGGCGTCGACGCTTACGGGAAAACAGCTTGAGCCTGACCGCTTCCACCAGCGTGGATTCCTCCCGTTCAGCCTACCTGGTCTACCTTGACGAGTCAGGTTTGGAGGTGGCGAACACGGCCATCCAGCACTATGTACATTTGCTGGAGATCCCCTTAGTCAACGTCGAAGTCGGTGAGCCAAAGCCTTGACTGAGTGAAAAATGTTCCTGATTGAATGTTTCCTTAGGTGGTATCCTGGGAAGAGGCGAGCATGGCATTGTCCGCAAAGGCGTGGCAACGGGACTGCGAGGTCAGCCACTGCCCACCCAGGTGGCTATTAAGACAATGCGAAATAAGACTGACCCGGAGCAGATCCGACAGATTATCCAGGAAATGAAGATAATGACACAGGCCGGCCGCCACCTCAACATAATTAACCTCCTTGGCGCTGTTTTCAAAGGTATCTGAAAAGCTTTAAGGATATCCATTAAAGCTTCGTCTTACTTGAGTAACTGTTCTCCGAACAGACCGTTTTACTGTCAAACAAATTGTCAAAATGTTTTTATTGTCTACTAGGTACTTCGTATAGAAAATTAGTTTAAAAACAGATGGCCATAAAGTGGCGCACAGCGAATCTTTAAGACTGCTCGAGAGTGAGATCGACTTGGTATGTATGAGTTCCATTTTGCATTATCAGGTGAAACGTATCTGCTGTTGGAGTATTCGGAAAACGGATCTCTTTTGAAGTATTTGCGGTCTCATCAAGGACCCCTTTTCAATAATTACACTGATGCTGACGGCCTGATAAAGGCCCACGACGAGACGGAAGCCAGCCACTTGCAGCAGGCGTCTAGTTCAGAGACGGAGGCGGTTAGCCAAGGCGAAGGTCCCGACGGAAAGGTTCTGTCGACACACGACCTGATGAGCTTCGCCTTCCAGGTCAGTCGCGGCATGGTGTATCTCAACAGTCGCTCCATTATCCACCGCGATCTGGCGGCCCGAAACATTCTCGTCTGCCAGAGCGGTATCGTCAAGATCGCCGACTTTGGTATGGCGCGACAAGTGTCGGAGTACCTCCTCCTGAACCAGCACGTAAGAACAGCTCTTAGATAGCCATTGACAAAATAAGCCATTGACAAAATAGTGATCAGAAGTTTTTTAAGGGTTCTGAGGCTCTTAGCTTGCTTGCAGGTGGCGTTGCCGGTGCGCTGGATGGCACCCGAATCGATTCGACAACGCACCTTTTCGCAGAAGTCGGACGTGTGGTCTTTCGGCGTGCTGATGTGGGAGCTCTTCAGTCTGGGCGAGACGCCCTTCTCGAGCTCCACCTTAAATGTCGGCAATATTACCGAGTTTCTTGCGTCGTTGCTGGAAGGCAGCCGTATGCAGCGCCCGCCAGCTTGCCCCTCCGCAATGTAGGTGACCTGTCACAATTCATTTAGACGGAAAATAACGTTGGTTTGCGCTGTCGCCAGATACGACATCATGCTGCAATGCTGGCGCTTGCAACCGGTGGAGCGGCCAACGTTTAGCCAACTGGAGCAGGAACTGACCGGTCTGGTGGGTCGAGACTCCGCCGAAAATTATCTCGTCCTCGACAAGCCCTACCAGCAATTCAACGTCGAGCATCAGAATCTCCTTAACGAGATCGTGGGTGACGCGCGCTATACGTCCATTGATACGGCTGAGTGCCGACTATGACAATGTTATGGTCAAGAGGCGGGGAAACCCCAATTATTAGTAATTTGTGGCTGATAGTAAGAAACAAAGTCCTACCGTCTAAAATAAGAGGACCAAGTAAACAGCAAAACAAGGGCAAGTCACCGGTTGGATTTTTTTTATCCGCTCCCGTAGAGTCTTTATATCAGGTCTGTTACAGTTTTTTACCGTTGATCATCGAATCAATATCTGTTATCACAGAGACTAAATCTGTTGATTTTATTCTCAGACCGCATTTTTGGAGGAAAATATCGATTCATTTATTGCCGAAGTTGCTATCGCTGTTGCTAAAGATATTAATAAGCAGCTTTTCTAAAAACTCATCACAGTGTACACTTACCTTTACAGTCTTTACAGTTTACCTTCTCTAAAGCTTTACAGTTTTTATAAAAGCTCTTTGTACCCATCTGTTAGCTTTAGCTGTCCCGGACAGCTAAAACTAACAGAATGATAATGATATTCAACGAGCAACAGGCAGTATGTTAACCAACGCTTATCCAGTTTCGACACCGGGCGTCGTTGTAGTACTTCAACATCGTTGTGTATTGTACTTTACAGATCCAGTTATTTTGTTAAGCACATCAGGATGTTATGGCGTACGTAGCTTAACAGTCATAGTAAGTAAAATACTGCACTCAACAAAATTCATGTATTAATATTTTGTTAGAATGTGCTGCGGTATGCCAGTTTGTTTTCATCAGTCTCAAGTGTGCTTGATGAGTTTGTGCTAACGCGGATTTCTGCACACTTTACATGCTCACGTATGTATCTGGTACTTGCGGAACTGGTAGCTGCGGAACTGGTAGCGCATGTCTGCTGCTTTGATAGATACCGGTCTATGCGTTATTTCTCCATTATGAGTCTGAGTACCGCAGCTTTCTATCGTACAAGCTGGCCATGTAAAATAGTCTTTTTTACCGTGGACATCATCGTCCATGTTAAGAGTCAGCGTTGACGTTAAGAGGAGATTCAGGTTTTCGCTACGAGTTTACCTTCCTTTCCTAGGTTAAGTTAGGCACTTTATTTCATTCGTAGACACACAATTACTTCGCTACATATAATCTTTTATAAGTGACAATTATAAAACGATTGATTAGCTTGTCCGAAACTTCCGACCACGAAACTGCTGTCAGTTATACGACAAGATGTTCTCGAAGAAAGTTTGTCACTGGAACGCTGTGAATGTTATGCGAAACGGGCTTCTGCAACGCGGTCTTATAGTCGATAAACTGGATTTAGGATGGGTTGTTGATTTTGATATCTTTGGGCAAAAACCGGAGGTTATTCCATACAGCAGTTACAATATATTTCTGGACAAAATGAGGACTCCAGCGTCTCAAGACAATACAGACTGTACGGTATTGTGCGGCAGCCACGACATATATCAGCATCCACAAGTATTGCTCAAGTTAGCAACCAACCAGCCTTGGACGTGGTATGAATGCAACGTGTCGTCGGGCTCATCTAATCGAAATTATTTTGCCCTCGTCGAAGTGATCTACGGAAACGAGCGCATTGTTACTGTCGTTCGAGCGAATCGTCTCCGCGGTCATCCACACATCGGGCGTTTATTACGGAAGAACGATATTCTTAAAGAGGAACTTCCTGTGCCCCCGGACTCTGTCGCCCTTAGTTCAACCGCAGTGAAGTTTTGGAAAGTGAATTTCCCTCGCACCCATCCTGTCCAAATATTAGACAACCAAATCACATTTCTTCAGCCACGCTTTGATAAAGGACTTGACCAAAACAAAGTGGTAGGTTATACTCAGCTGCTGGATTTGTGATCTGATTTGTAGAAATAATGTTAGTATAAATAATGATTTGTAGAAATAATGTTAGAAGGGTTTACTCATGTACTTTTGCCAATGGCTGATTTTATTTACACATAATGTACCGCTAAGAAAGTACAGCTGATATTTTGTTGCAGGCAGAGATACTGAAAAGAGGTGAAATAGAAAGCCGAATAACCAGACAGGAAGACGAAATAGATAGATCGGATTTTGCGCTTTTTGACATGGATGAATTTAATTCAATATACGATCCTCACAGTCCAACAGAGAGTTTACTGCAGCAAATGCAGTCATATATACGGAAAAAATCTGAACTTCCATGTACCGAAAGTTATCCTTCCCTTAACGACCTTTCCCTCGATGTTCTTGTGGACATAATTTCGGTTCTGGATGGAGGTCATCAAGCAGTTGTACGATCCGTTTGTACTGCCTGGAATTCGGTTGTGCTGTCCACTAAGTGTACTAAGACGGTAATAATTCAATATTCACGCTGGGTTGATAATAACAAGCAGAATCCGTATGAGTTGATGTCGTTACTCTGCCATTGTATTACCAGCGCAACGCAATATGTGATATTTGCCACTGAGGATATCTTTTTCCCGCTACCGCTTTTGGCTGATCTCCGGACCTTCAAGGAGATGCCCCTAACGTTTGTTTTCGCCAACACCACAGTGAGAAGCGGTATGTTTTGTGAAGAAACTATTGCTGACGGACACGTGGATCTACTGAATAAAATTCGTACTTCATTTTCACAAATGATGGAGCCACCGTTTGCCCGGCTTCTTTTGTACAAGGTCACACTGCAGCAATTTTTCGTCCCGGCCTGCGCAGACTACGTGAGTTACAAAGAGAAAAATAGTGGCTTGTTGGATTTGGTCATCGTGCGCTTGGCAGTGAACGTTCACGAAGAGATCGCCTTTCTCGACGTGCTTAAACGAGCCGCACCAGCATTTCCAGATTTCAACATTTTGCCACATCGAGAAATTTTCCAGGGTCTAACAGAATGGATTGCCGAGGCCAATGGCAATACCGTTCGAGAAAACGAGATCCTGACCGTAAGTATTTGCTTGAAAACCGCTATGATAAATGCGTCTACAGACATTTCGTTTTGCTGAGCATTAGACAGCCTTTATATCGTAGATCCTGAAAAAGTGGCAATCGGACGACGTTCGCTTCGGTCAACATATGCAATGGAAAGATATGGAGGCAAAAATAAACGCTGGCCTTACTAATTTGCATCCTATTACGTTTTGGGCCCTGCTGGCATTGTCAAGAACGCTGACGAAAAGGCAAGAACAAATGCTTCGTCTTACTTATCGCTACGAGGAAAACGTTGTTGAGAGCAATAACTTGCATGTTTACGGTAATGCTGCCAACAACGGCATGGACTTGGATCCGAATTCCGATTATTTGATTTTTAATCAAAATCGCAAAAAGGAAGATGACCTGGATGAGAACAGCAATGATTTAAATCTGGATTACGATAACAATAACCTGAATCAGAACCGCGATGGCATAGAGCTGGATGATGATGACCTCGGTGAGGACCGCGATGACCTAGAACTAGATGATGATGACCTGGGTGAAGACCGCGATGACCTAGAACTAGATGATGATGACCTGGGTGAAGACCGCGATGACTTATTTCTGGAATGTGACGACGATGACCTGGGTGAAGATCGCGATGACTTAGGTCTGGAGTACCATAACAATGACCAGGACGATGACAGCGATGATTTCGGTCTGGATGATGATGCGCGACTCGACAACATATACTAGGACGTACAAGGACGATGCTGGCTTGGGTTTGGACGATGACCTGCGAATAAACCCTGGTGACTACTTCGGTGTAAAAATGAACTACGAATGGGACGAGGGTCACGAGATCATTAACTGTGCCGACTTGGACTTTGTTTCTGAATGCGGAAGCGGCTGCTTCTGAACCTACAACTGCCGACTGCAGCTCAATTATATTAGCTCCACTTTGTACAAGAGGTTTACCGGGCGATCAAAACGTTATTCAACAATTCATAAAGAAAACTGCCGGTCTTCGATCAACATATTTAAAAAAACGTTTCAGACTTTAGATGAGACGGGTGAAGGGCGTGAAAACTCACGGACTGCATTACCGGGCATGGTCTCCAAAGTTGAACTATTGTCGGGCATGAAAGCAGTTTGAATAAAAATACGAATGCTTATGATAAGCTTTAGCGGTTACTGTAAAAAGTACAAACACGTCTGATATACCAACCACGCCACAAATCGGTAGAGCGAATTTTTCTCACCACTGTAACAAAAAAACAGTTAAGAGAGGTAGTTCTCCCACTACCGTTTTGGCATCGGCGTGTTCAGTAGCACCTTTATTCTCAACCATCTAGCAGCGGTAGCGCTCCTGAATTCTGTGGTACAACAGTGGGCCAAATGGATACAGTGCAAAATTCTAGCGGAGAGAACAGGTTGCAGTAGAAGTGGAATGGACGAATGATAGACTTTGAAGTCAGCTGCTATCAACGAAACTAACAAATCAGTGCTGCTGGCTGTCTATAATCGCGACTAGGGCGCATGGCTGAATGCACTCCCAGTCCCGTCCCCAAACCTGAACACGTTTCAGCGAGAGAAAGAGTTGAGTACTGGCGTCGCTCTTAGATTTGGACTTTCAGCGGCGGAGGAACACAACTGCACGAATTTCGGCAGCCATGTGGAAATAAATGGCCAACACGGTTTATTCCGCCCTAGCAGCAAAGGTCACGGCAAGGTGAGCTGAACGATTAGACGAAGCGCTTCTTGGAAATGGGGCTATCCTTGCCAAAGCGATCGAGCCGTCTGGGCTGTCAGATCGCGGCAGTAAACGGCCGGAGCACGAATAGCCATTTTGGCTGTTTTTTAATGTTCAAATTTGAATCATTTTAATCAGTGTTCATTAGCGTAGCAAGGGTAAAAACAAGCTTATAGACTAAACCAAGCCACGTATCAATATTCGCAATTCAAAACTAAATCTGTTGTCTTTATCACCGAATTTCGTAGGACAATATCGATTTGGTTATGCCGAAGCTGTCTGTTATCGCTCAAAGAAATAAGTTCAAGCAGTTAAACTAAACTCAAAAATGACAAAATCTTTGTCATCGGTTAGTTTTAGCTGTCCATAATGATTTTTTAACTGTTCAACGAAAAACAGGCAGTATGTTAACCAATACTCCACAACTGGAAAGCCTTGTTGAAAAGCAAAAAGCCAGCAACAGGGTATAGATTTTTAGCATGCTAATTCGTTACACGAGGTATTATATGAGTACTGGTTTAATTTGCGATTACGATAGACATTATCCTTATCCAAGGCTGCAGCACAGTTGACAGTCAACGGGTCAGGCCACAAACCCATGTCCATGGGGAATTCCTCACTTGCATACGTCCCGATCGCGACCGCTTCTCCCACACGTTTCTTTTGGATTAAGTGTGGATTCCGCTTGAGGAAGTTGCGGTACCACGCAAACGAGCAGTCACAGTGGAGCCGTTTCACACTCTCCAATTCATCCTTAGGTAATTGCCTCATATCTGCAGTTTAACAACGTTACGACAAAACGACGGTATAATATTATCGGTTAACAATAATTACAGTTAGTAATGTCCTTTGCTATGTATACCATATATTCGCTAAAAATTGCGCATACCATTCAATAATAGGCAAGATTGCGCAAAGTGTTGTGAACCGTTTTCAAAAATACGAGTAGTAAACTAATAAAACGCTCACCGATGTTATACGCTACGCGCCCTTCCAAGGACAAAGTTTTCAAGTGAGCCAGGTCCGTGAAGGTGTACGGTTCTAATTCTTTTACGCTGGAATACGTAAAGGTGATCCAGCGAACACTGGGAAGTCCGGAAAAATCATGCCGTTTTATTACGAGATTCTTGGCATACCCCACTTGTAACATAACCAGATTTGGTATAGCACCGGCATTGTAGATTTTCGTGGTGAGCGCTGGAGTGGCGCCTCGATGCACGTCCAGCTCAATAATCTGTGTACGAATGGGTCCAATGACGTCAGAATGCAGCGGATCTTCGGTGTCGTTTCGTTCGTTCATTTTCAGCACAACGGCCCGGTTAGCGCTGGTGATGCTAACATTGCGGGCGAACTGTGCGAGGGCGGTGCGCGTGCTGCCGAACTGGCAGGTAATGGTGACATAGGTGTGCGAAAGAGGGTCCATCGAATGGTTCCGTGCATAGACCATTGGGCAGTAATTCTCGTCATCGTCACCACAGGGCATTTTATGATAGGTCACGCATTCCTCTGCGCTTAACATGTCCGTACGAAGTGTACCGCCGGCTGTTACGGGGCTGTTGTCCGCGATGCCGGTGGGTGTGGTCGGCGCATTGCACTCGGATTCGAAACGAATCGGTGCATCTGAAATGGTAATAACAACAACGTTAATACCACCAAACTCCGCAAGAAAATGTGTTTCACAAAATTATTCCCGTCTGTTTTACGTACTGGCACAGCATCCGACTGCGATTATCACGACCCAGGCTGTGATTTTATATAGAATCTGACCGTGCATGGTAAACTATATGCAAACTGTCAATTGTTTAGAACAATCTGCAATTCCTGCTCATTGCCAGCTTTTGGAATAACTGACAACGGTCTTTGTTATATGTTGTGAGTGGTTCAAGCGTTGTTAGCGGCAGCAAACGAGGCTGAACTACTTTATTTTAAAGCGCTTCTTATCGAATTGCCAATCACCGCTTGGCGAGGCGTAAACAACAGTCAGAGTACACTTTCGTAAAGAATTCTTCAAAACCCTCGTACATCGATCAGTGCGGCGGTCGGGAAATGAAAATGTGGCCACGGTACCTGTTACATAATTCACGCATGATAAAGTATTGCATGACACTCCTGAAAACGGACTTTTTGAACATAATTGGCTAGCAACGACACTAGTACTCTGTACTGACAACCATTTCCCATAATTACATCGCTCCAACCCGTGCCAAAAAAGTGGCTTGAGAATGGATGAGAGATTAAGACGGAATAGATATCATCAACTGTGCATTTGAACTTGAGAAAATCGCTGTGTGGACTTCTGTACGAGGCTTGACAGCCGGTAGTTGGTGGAGTGCAGTACTCGGTACCAGTCTGTGCAAGACTACAAATACTTTACTCACCGTTGGACGTTGTGAATGTTACTTTAGTCAAAAACTGCGGTGGATTTGATCGGCAAATTTGCTGGTCATCCTGTGTTACATACCAGCCTTTCTGACCTGGGTTGCACCCTGGTTACTCTTCGGGAGAATTTGCAGATTTTATGTGTTGCAGCCTAATAAAAGATCGGATGTCAGTAGGCGCACACTATTTTTGCGGATAAGCGTTTTTCGTTTGATCTTGTAACACTTCTAAACAAATACGAGCGCAGTTATGTGAAGTAAATATTCAAAGTACCGCTTTCGGATATCCCAAAAAATGGTTCCGTGTACACAAGCAAATACCTATATTAGGATCAGAAGGCAAAAAGGTCAATATAATTCGTTTCTGGAGACGAACGTGGCGCTATGTCGAAAACGCTTTTACTATGCATTTTCTATCAACATACACGGGCACCGGCTGAGCAGGTGCAAAAATTCGAAATTTCGAAATTAACAAAGCGCGTTTACTGGCCCCGTCTCGACCGGAAGGAAGCCGGCATTTGGCTGAACGCGCAGCCCTCCGACACATAGGGAATCTATTGACGGTGACACGCTGAAAATTTCGGTAGACCTCCGTCTTGGCGCAGTTATTTGTGAGCCACATGTTTGTCTGAAGTATCACAAGCCAGTAGACCGATTTGCACACCACGGCTTATCCTGCTCATGTTCAGCCGGTAGGCACCCACGGCACGGCGGGCTCAATCACATTAATGTATGCCGCGCTCTCGTTTCAGCCGGCTTTCTTGCTAAACTGGAACCGCGCGGCACCTCACACACGAGCGAACGACGATCAGACGACTGTAAACGTTTGCCTGGCAGAGGGGAATGTACTTGGCATGAGATGTCACCTGTGTCGATACGGTTGCTGCTTCCCATATTAGGTCCACGTCGACTAGCCCCGCTTCGTCCGCGGTGCAAGCCGAAGACAGGATAGCCAGTTTGTACTCGTATCTGAGTAGGAAATACATTTTCGCGCCCTTTGCATTCGAAACAATGGGCCCTTGGGGACCGTCAGCTACCGCTATCATTAAGGAAATCGGGAAACGACTGCGTAGCTAAACTGGAGAGGCTAGCTCCTATGAATTTCTCCGACAGCGACTGTCGTTGGAGATTCAACGGGGAACCGCGGCTTCGGTTTTAGGAACAATGGATATAAAAAATAACATTAATCTGGGTCATTAATGCCGGATATGTAATGTTCAATTTTTTTTCACGGACGTCACAGCCAGTAGACACAACAGTCTGCTACGTCTCGACCTATACAGTACTCGGTTTCTGGCTTCGCTTCGGTCTTCTAGCTCTAGCCAACATCGGTGCACTTCCCTAGTTGTAAAAGTCTGTATAAGCAGTCGCTTAATCGTGGAAATATACTGCAAACTTGCTGTGCTGCAAGGTCATTTCCTGCTCCAGCTGTTGGTCCAGCGCCTTGCGGTCACTCGGCCTTGAGTGGGAAAGGCCAGTAACGTTTTATTTTGTACGTTTTATTTTGTCGTATGTAAGTTAAAGTGGGGTACATACTTTTGAAGTCGCGCATGCAACGACCAACGGTCAAGTCGGTCAACTCCTGCACGAACAGTCACCACCCCGCTATACCGAAATACCTGTGTTTGGATTCGGTTATATTTATATAACATATTTAACACCGGTTTCTCTGTGACCCGCTAAACTTGAGTTTCAAAGATGCTCTGAATAATAAGAAAATTAAATCAATAACACTCCAATACTTATAAGCACATAGAAGGCAACCTGGCTAATAACAGTTAACAAATCAGATCGTAGCATGAGGTCTGGTAGGAGAACTCAGTATCATACACTGCGACATTCTTGCTACCAATTTCTTTGCTACAATCGACTCTCAGATTGTCCGGCCACGCGCTCCAGTTCTCCGCCGGCAGGAAATAGTTTCCAACGGTCGCCACCTCTCCCTTTTTCTTAGCATCCGTCAGATACGGCTTCCTCTTGAGATGATTTCGCAGCCACGACGATGAGCAATCACAGTGCAGCTTCTTAATGTGCTCCAGGTCCGTTTTTGTCAACTTCGGCACTTGGATCGTCGACAGCTGCTGACCTTCCAACGCCGCCAGCCCGATGACGACATGTCGCTCCAGCGCTAGGTTAAGGAGATCCGGCAAATCCGTGAATGTATAGGGATCCAAATCGGCGATGGTCGATCCGGAAAAAGAGATCATTCTAACCGTCGGCATATTGGAGAAATCGTCCTTCTTCACTACCAAACCCAATCCCTGCGCGATATCCAGGTTAACCAGATTCGGGAGGTTACCGATATTGCGGATCTTGAAGGTAATCTGCGGGGTGACGCTTTTTCGAATGCGGAGATCGATGACCTGGTTGCGGATGGCCTCGAAGGTGTCGCTGTCGATCGGATCCATCGCGTCGTTGCGCTCTTGCAGCTCCACCACCACGGCACGATTCGGGCTGATCTGGCTCACATTTTTGGTGTAGGTCGTGATGGAGGGACGGTCGCCGCCGGCTCCGCAGCCGATGGTGTAGTACGATTTGAAAATCTTGGAGGTCTCCCAATCAAGATCCGTGCGGCAGTAATCGTATTTTCCATCACCGCAGGCGATCTTCGCGTAACTGTTGCATTCTTCTTTGGAGAGGACGTCGGTGCGGAATGGGTAAAGGTCAGAGGTCAAGGGAGGCCCGGAGATTTGGAGAATGGCGGCGGATGGATTGCCGCATTCGGTTTCCAGTTTGTTCCGCTCTGTGCTTTCCTCATCCGGCTGGACGACGGCGCAAATCGCACCTTGCAATGCAACAAATGAGGTACATTAAATTATATTCCTAATCGTAAAAATTAATAGTATTGGTAATAAAAGTCAGTAGTAAAATGACTACAAATTTATAGTGCAGTGCACTGCATTGTAATTGCGTGCATAGCGGCTAGCGCATGCGGAAGCTGACCACAACGCGTTGAGGTGGTAAAACTTATTCATTCTTTGTCAATGCATACAGTTTGGCATTTTCGTAACCGTTAGGAATACCTGAATTTTTTTGTTAAAAACAAAGTGTTTCGTATCAAAGTCTAAGTTTAAGTTTAGTGTTCTGCAATAGAGTTAGGTTGCATTTCCTGTGTGTACAGTACATAATTACTGTACAAATAGACAAAATAAAAGTGACTGTCTCAATGACCATTCCACTAGTAATGAATGTTATGACTTTTATAATTGTGAAATAAATTATTTACTAAAAGTAATGGCTAGATTTTTATTAAACGGTAAGATTAGAAAAAGCCTTTCCTTGCATTGAGCAATCAATCATAATTTTACGGTATGAACAGATATCTCCTGCTGCGCATAATATGCAAGTCGCAGACAGTAGTGACGCTAAGGTAACATACCGGTAATCAATCCAAGTCCAATCAAAAAATTTTTAAACGCCATAATCCCTCAACACGTGTGTAAAGCTGTCAACAGCTTTCTCAAAAGCATATGCAACGTGGTGTTAAGTTGCACAAGACAAACAGAATCCTAGATTGTGCAAAATTATACTTCAGATGCGACTAACAAATTATCACAATGATGTTGTTATTGGAGCAACAGCGGTGAGATCCGGAGAATCGGTGCGGTGCAGCACTCAACAAAGAATTACTACGGTTCACAGCGTCGCTTTGGGAAAAACACGCCGAGAAGCTGGTAATAAGTATTTATACGTTTATTGACAACAGAATAATTATGCCGTCGACAACCAGCAAACAGCACTTGTCCCCATTTAACACCACCGCTTTCACTTGCAACAGTGAGTCGGCATTATAAACAACGGCTGCCGCTTGTCGGCACAGTAGATGATTGGACGCCGGCGCCAAAAACGGGGCCGAGTCAGGTCTTAATTTGCAGCTTAATCATTTGCCCTCGTTGATTTACCAATGAAGTGAAAGTGGTGGCTACTGGCTAGTAACTCGCAGAATCTTGTACAGTATATGTGTAGGTTGACAAACCGGTGACGGATCAACAGGCGCATTAAGCAGTAGGCTTCTATGCAAGCGCACGCTTGTTGACTCATAACCAGCTTCACTTTCGGTTTCTCAGTGGTGGAATGCGCTAATTGTTTGTCTCTGACAATCAGCGAAGTCGGTAATAAATTAGCGAGGGGCCGGCAGGGAAATAACCCCTCGCCGAGCACGTTTGTTTACTATTATGCAATCAATCGTATAAACATTCTCTGCCGAGAATGGATTACTGATTCCGATAAACGACCGGATTCCGATAAACGACCGGATTTTTGCATTGGATCTGGTTTCTACAGTAAACTGATTTCTTAGTACTGTGTCGATAAGAGTTTAAAATTTTTTATAAGAATGGCTAAAAGCATTTCTCTGGAGGCCATCGACACCGCACTGACTCGTTAGTACCATTAAATTTAAAAATAACAACGAGACCACAAGCAAGGTACACTGCGTAAAGCATAGCGTAGTTTTTGAAGCGGTAATGTCTAGTTGTAGCCGAACGAATTATGAAACAAAATTTAACAATCATTTGTGAATTACTGTATAAATACGTAATTTTTAGGCATGTGCGCTGACTTGTTGCAGTCATACTGTCAATTGTTTCCTCATTGAGGCAGGCAAAGATGTTACGGCGTCTCGTAATATATGTAAGCCCCGGAAATAATAGCCTACACACTGATTATTAGGGCGGCAATGGTATTGTCGTAAATTGCGACAAACACTCATTGATCCATGGTAGCGGAAGAAAAGTTATGCAAATGTAAGCGCGTGCATTCACTGAAAACCAGTAATAATCTTTGGTAATTTTTACAACAAATGTGCTGACATTAATCTTTTGGCACTGGAACAGCTGGTGAATGTCTGATTATGTCTCTGATGCGTCTATTTGAGAAGCGCAAAACAATCTCTTTCGCAGTGCTGGTTGACAGTGTGAACAAAATATGTGACGCTACTATGAGCGCCAAAGGGGAGAAGTTGGCCACGACTTGCGCAACTACAATGAAATTGTAATAATCGGTACTTCCTGCAGATGCGGTCAGTACCGTTTAGGAGAAAATAAACTTTGTACAATAAATTCCATGCCACTAACAAGTACGGCTTTCAAACAACTATTACAGTACGTGGCTTTTTATGTTCTTCAATCTTAGTATATAAATCTGGTTTTGGATGGAAAACCGGCTGTCTTGAATTAACGGGATAATTCGCAGCTCGCACCAGAATGTCTGTAATTCTGGACAATCTTCTGACGACACAGCCATGTGCTGTAATCCCCGATATACGTAAATCAAAAGCCATGCTGGCCAGAAACACAGTATTTTAATGATTTCTATACGTAGGCCAAGATAACCTGGCGAGGTATCCAGGGCCGGTCTGATTCCAGGTAATCATCCGTAGTGCCGTGGTCATCCATGCCACTACGGCGTGGGTTACGGAGCCTCTGATTCGGTATGTAAGTGCACGATGTTTTGCCGCGAAGGGCGATAGGTCATTACTTCGAGGAACATATGCTCCAAGAGGCGACGGGTATCTCCTACTCGGTACATTCTGGATATGGTGCAATAATTAAGAGAAATGGAGCGCCCAGTCGAGCTTGTTAATGAAAGTATTCTTTTAAGTGGTGCTCTTCTGTGTTTAATGGATCAAAGCATGTTCTACGGGAAGACTGGCTCTATCGGCAAATCGCTTTGCATTTTCACGCAAGAAAAGCCGAAGCAGATGAGGCCGGATGCGAGTTCTCGTTTTCCAATATGGAAGACCGCTTTCTCGCAAGATTACTCTTTGTCCTTTAGGTAATGTAATGGACTACGCTAACTTCAAAGGAAAAAGCGTTAGCGCAGTTTTCCGACGTCTCCTCCGTCCGTCATAGGTAAAAAACAGGATTTAATTGTGAGTTCATTCATTCCATTCTCAAAGCAGCTACGATTGTGATAACCTATCCGTAGAGCGGGAGAAAAAGGATCACAATTCACATGCCCGGTTTTCTAAAGGTTAGGGTCGTACGTCGTACGTAAGACACAACGAACCAAAACTAAAGTCAAAATAATACATATTAGAAACAGTATGGCCAGCTTCCGATAAATCTGCACAGCGATGCTGTGTTCTTGCACACTGGTCAGAGCAGCTAGTCAGATCCTCGTAAAACGATAAGACAACATCAAGCCTTTTTTACATACTGAAACGATGCTCTTATAAAAGCATTTCAACTCGAACTGATTATTCAGCGCTTCGAGGGAGCTTACGAATGGGGTTGGAAAAGGATGCAATGTCATGAATCAGCTATGATTACGAATCCACGATTATCAGAAGCGAGAGAAACACCACATCCCTGTGCGGCCAGACCACACGCCTAATTTATTATAATGTCGTCCCGTACGAACGGAAGAAAAAACTGAACTAAAATCAAGTTTAAAAATAAAATGGAAAGCTTCCGATAATGGGTCTAATCATTATAGCTCATGACAAGCTGGTCAGAACCAGTAGTCCACATTTTGAACCGCTAAGACAACATTCATCCGCTTTAGTACTATGGAAATAACTAGGACAGGAATATTGGGGAAACGAAGGGACATTGAAGCCATAACCACCAGCCATCACCAGCTAGCCACAGATGGCAGCATCCGGTCGCGGCGTCCGCTTCCGGATGCTGTGCCGCTGCACCACCGCTAAGGTGCGATAGCGCGGCATAAACTGCTGCGGTGCTGCACAGTGCAAGCCGCACCACGGGACTGAATGCTGCGCCGCTTCACACACCGACCAGCTGTCCTCTGCCGGGTCGTAGCACTCCATCGCCGAGCTCACTGCTTCCTCCGTCGCATGACAACCACCCACAGCGTACAGTCTGTCTTTCACCAGCACTAGCCCCAAATCCGTCCTGGCGAAATTCATGCCCCCTGCATCCAAATATGTATTTAATTAACCGTGTGTAGAATAACATGCACCCTATATCCAAGAAGTAATTAGCCGTCTGCAGCGTAACAGCAAGAGCGGTTAAATTGGAACACCAAAAAGCCCAATCGCACTCACGCTTCGACTGCCACTGGTTCGTCTGCACATTGAACGCCTCCACACATGCCAGAGCGGAACCCATGGAACGACTGGTACAGCCGCCTATCAAGCGGAAGATATCAAACTGCGTTTGGAGTTTAAATCCAGACGGAACTGTTATTTTCTTTAGCCGAGTACAACAAAAGGTACTGTAAATAAAATAAACATATTAAACGAACGTACGTAAAAATTAATACTGCTGTTGCTGAGAGTGAGCGCTAAACAGCGAGTACGTACTGTTTTTACTAGCGGTGGTTGTTAACTAGATCAGTGCACCGAGCGAGCGCCAGTACCACTGAAAAATGGTACTGGATTTGTGGAATTTGGAAAGCGTGACGTACGCTCTTCGTGGCGTCAGACAAATTTTATGCTCTTGACGAAGGCTTAACAGTAGCATCTCGTTGCGCTCGATGGCCGATGCGAATAAAACACCTGTTGCAGCTATGTACACTACACTGACCAGAAATTAGATGAGACCATCCGGGCCCACGCACGCGCTACAACGGGCGCGCGCTGTCGGCATCGGTGCCAGCTCCTCCCAGACGTCGCGGGCCGGATCGTAGCAGTAAGCGGTGTCCGCTGTCATGGAGTTGCCGAGCAGCTGCCGATTCCTGCAATACCCACCAAAAACGTAGATGCGGCTCTCGCAAGAGACAATCGCACTGGACGGTAAGAAGACGGACAGCGGCATTGGCGCGCGGACAATCATTTGTTGCAGCCCCTCATCGTACGCGCACATTCGGCCGTCCACCATCACGAACACCTGCTCGTGGAGGACGGCCAGCGGCATGGCAGGGTGTTGAACGGGAAACACCGTCAGATACGTCCACTGATCCGCGCCGGCATCGTACACGTGTAGTTGCTGGGTCGTATCATCCTTTTTCGTCACAACGTAGACGAGCAGGCGACCGTTCTTGACGGCATAGATCGCATCAGGCCGCCACCGGCTCGGTGGAGGCGCGCACGGCACGCTCCAGCTTCTAAACGTCCGCGGATCCAGATAGGCAATGCCAGCCGTACGATGCTTATCCGTTCCGTGATCCCACAGTGAGACCATTATTGGCTCTGTAAATACCCAAAGGACGTACAGAACTACCGGCTCCAAGATGAAAAGCCTCTTACCGCAAACAGCAAATTCAAGAAATTATAAAGATATTTGTAAAAACGGATAACCCCAAAAAGCACACAAGCCACCACCAAAAACAACTAACCATAGGAGTTCCGCAGTGTGGAGGCGCTGTCGCGAGCAAGGACCGATTGGATAGCCTGGTGCAAGTGTTGTCCAGTGGACGTGTCGGGAAGGGAAGCCATGTAGTCGGCCGTCAGCAAACCTGCACGAATATGTCGCGACGCGTCCGCCGCGTGCGGCAGTCGGGTTACGGGTGAACGATCCAGCCAACGTACAACCGCCGCAGCCACCTGCTCCTCCTTCTCCACGTTCAGCTCGTCGGACCCAATCAACTGCTGTATCTGAAAAAACAAAAACCAATCTGGTTAAGGTAGAACGAACGCACCCAAGCCCAAAATAACACACTTCAGCCGCATCCATATCCAGAAACTCCTCCGACGGGGTTATACAGTGGAAGTGCTCCAGTGCAAATGCCAGACATTCCTCCGCCAAATCCCGACAGGACAGCTGCCGGGCCCCGCGCCAGATAGTCAGCCAGTTGGTCAGATCGATGTTGGCCCGCAGGAAGCTCTTACACGCCTCCACAATCTGTCCCATCTCCAGCATGTCCGCTGCCTTCAGCAGGAAAAGAGCGTTGTCAGCGTCCACGGCAATCTCGAAGCCATAAATACAGTCCACCAATCTGCAAAGCCAACAATACAGTAATCGAGCCAACGCTAACAATACCGCACACTCGGTCAGTAATCGAGCTACAAATCCATAAGCGCATTTACTGCTCAAGAATATGGTGGGGAACGCTGTGCAGCTGGATCGTATCCTGCCTCGACTCCTTCATCGGGGAGAGCAGCATGCGTCGGAACCAGCCACTGCTCGCCATCAGCACAATGCGATGGCAGGGAACTGCCTGCACTGGTTTGGACGGATCATCCGCGCCCCGCAACGACACATCGCACAGATCGTGACGGGCTCCCTGCAGTCCGTGGAGAAATACGGATCCATCGCGTTTTAGCGGAGATGGATTCTCGGATGGATCGTGCCGTTGGCGAGAAGACCGAGTAACGCATGTCGCACATTCTGCCATATTTTATACTGTAGCCTTGTAGCGTGAGCTAATGGACAAAAGAACGGAAATAAACGCTGACTACGATGATGATTGATGAACACCGATGAAAATAATCGAAATACAAAGGCTCTCTTTATAAAAAAATCCAACCAAATCCAACTCGTAAAAAATCCATCTCGTCAAAAATCCAGCCAAATCAAATCAAAGCATTTAACGTGTACTGTACCGACTGTACGTACTGGGTTGTGCCGTAGTGGGTACTGGGTAGTACTGTATGTTTATGTAGACAAAACAGTGCCTTCTGCAACCGTTGTCGGACAAACCGTTGCACAAGTGAACAACAAAATAATATAATGCCCGGCCGTGAAAAGCTTGATCGTGAACGCTAATGTACTGTACGAGTTCGTACTTTAGCTGCTAACAGGAAGAACACCTGATGTGGTGACAATTCTAACAACTAATAACTTTACGTGGTAATAACTTTACCATGTTTGTGCCGGTCCAAATATCACAGTAGCCCTTTTACAACTAACCGGCATACGCATATAAATTGAACGTCATCGCCAGCAAGGGCTGGGATCAATATGCTTTGCATCCGAATACGACTATTACGAAATGCCGAGTATTTCGTAAAATATAATACTGTAATAACATCACTTGAAACATGATGAAAGTACTTACACACGAGTATGTACTTTACATACGAAGGGAAAACGTATTAATTTTTATGTTCGTACATGGAACATGGAACGCACATCGTACATCGTACACGAGTATGGAACGTGAGAATAAAATTTATTGCATTTTGTAATACTCGTATTTCGGATATTTACGACGACGAGAAAAGTACATTGTTAATATTTTTGTCGACATTTTGTCGAAGGGTCGGTTATGTCTGATACTGTGACGCAAACTAAGCCGTTAACAATGTATGAGAGGAAAAACGAGGGAAAAGGCTGAGAAACGAAAACGAAATAATTCTAATAACGCTCAAAGTATTGGTATTTTTTGCTTTTATTCGACAAGAATACACAGTTATTGTAGTTTCAACTGCCAGCACAAAAAAAACCTTGTCTGCTATGAAAAAAAATCTGAAGGTATGGCCGGCTTCATTACTGGAATACCCTGTCTGCCGGCATCCGGTGATGGCTGCAGGCTGAGCGGTCGGCGGTGAGAAATTGCCGATCAAGTTAAGGGAAGTGGGGCAGTACATGGCACCAAATTCGTGTGCATGCACGAAAACTTTCGCTTTCCCGCACTCCCAAACACGTTTTTGTTTCGGTTTATGACGTTTTGTAGCCAAAAGATTTGCATACACTGGAGTGAAAACCGTTTGTGCGCGCAACATCCGGTTCGGGAGTTATGGCTGTTAGAAAATTCCAAAAAGTTTAAATGCGTTCAGGTTACCAAAAGTCTCATTATCGACCGATCTCCCTCAAATTTTGCACGTAAATGCACATGTCCATCAAGATCGTTTTTACACCGATTCAGACTTCCATGATTTTTTTCAAATTTTAAAATAAACCTTAAAATTTTTGAAATTCATTTTAAAATTTCAAAACATGCTAAAGCAGTGGATCGGTGTAAAAACGTTTCTCATGGGTATGCGCATTTACGTGCAAAATTTGAAAAAGATCGGTCCATAATGAGACTTTTGGTACACATAAACGGATTTAAACTTTTTGGAATTTTCTAACAGCCATAACTGCCGAACCGGTTGTTGCGCGCACAAACGGTTTTCACGCCAATGTATACAAATCTTCTGGCTACATAATGTCATAAACCGAAACAAAAAAGTGTTTGGGAGTCTGCGAAAGTAAAAGTTTTCGTGCATGTACATTTAGTAATAGTGCATGTAGTAATAGTTTTAATATGACGTACTATTATTATTAATTTTGTTCCTTCGAGTGGAAAATGAATTCTGTTATACCAAATATCCACACAACACGGAAGAACAATGCGCGCTGATTAATCTTCTGTCCGTTTCCAGATAGCGATTCTTCCTGAGAATTTACTGCGCAAATCGTTTTATATATCTGGTATTGTATAAAAGCTTAGCGTGCCTCTTCTTCCGTGGTGCCTGGATGCATCATGGCTTCAACGGAATTATTTTCCAAAATGCCATAGAATCGCCGCATTTATCCTCTGCTTTTATTGTGTGCTCAGATACATGCCTTTTCCGCGGAACTGCTTTGCGCTGCCAGGTGTACAATAGGCGCCTAACATTTTGAAGACGTAGATTATGTGGGCGCGTTGCCTATCTTTCTCACCGTCAATGCTTCATCCAAACGATTATTTGTCCCAGCCGTATCATATCTAGATCTGGCACTTCCATGTGAACGATTTTGGGTGCCTTCTTTCTTTTGCGGATTGTGTAATGGTTTCAGTGTAATCCATTTTCTAAATGCCCTGACGTCCGAATAGCATTTACAATGTTCTGATTAATGCGCGACTAACTCCCGCCGATCCCACTTGTGGTGAACTGGGGCCACCCCCCAGGGGGGCGCAAATTTTTTAAACTTCGAAAAGCATGTACAAATATTTTTTATGTGTTGTGAATGCCGAACGCTGCACATAAGGTTACCGCAACGAGACGCGTTGTAACGTATTGCTGTTAATTTTCGTAACTTGAAATCCTAGCCTATTCCGATGTATAAAAAATAGCCAACTGGATAGCCTGAGAAAACACAATTCTGTAGTCCGAATTAGTAAATCAGATTCAAGTTCAACACGAAAATTAACGATGCACCCCATTAAAATAAGCAGCGTCTTTAGCCGATGGGTTGGTCTTTGGGCGCCGGTTTTTCGCTTCTACTAATTAGCGGCTCATATGAGCTCTTATTAAGAGCTGATATGAGTTGCACGATTCGGTAAAGTACTGTTCGGGCAACACTGAGATCCGTAAAGCGTTAAAACGGCTGTTGCGGTTTAGGAGATATGAACTATGAAGTGCGCCAGAACGGACCTCAAGCTAGTGTTGCTGAAAAGCACACTGTACGCCGTGGGTGGCTGCCATCCAGTGGAGAAGGAAGGGTGGAGGATACCGGCCATGGAGAGCTACGACACGGCAACGGATAGTTGGACAGCGTGTGCGGTGGCGATGCACTCGGCCCAGTGGTGCGGCGACAGCTGCACAGCGTCGGGCAGGAGCCTGAGGTGTGGTCGATTTCTCGGCGTGATTCCGCGGCAGATCGAGAAGAGGATGCGGCGATGTGATGCTGCTAACGCGGCGTGTGGCTAGCTGGCATGGTGGTTGGTGACAGTCGGTTCTTTCTTCCGTATCTAACGGGCTCATTATGTTCTGACTACTCTAGCTGTTTTCGCCACTTTGCCCCATGTGTTTCACGTAGGCTCTTCACGGTTGCCACAAACACGCCTGATGTATAGAAGTATAAAATTTATTTCTTCCGTGCTTTTTTGTTCGATGACAGTATTACGTTGCACAATATTACCAGTTCATTCGCTGCAGTTGAACTTCTGAACATTGCCCAACATCTGCCCGCAACAGAAAGATTTTGTTTGTGAGAGCATCCTATAGAATAGATGAGCGGTTTGCAGCAGTCATAATAAAATTTTGCGAGGCTATCACCATGGTTTTAACGATGCGTATACAAAGGGTAAATATCGATATGCAATAATCATTATACCGTGTACCTGTATATACAGCAGGAAATTTAGCCGATGCTTACTCTAGAGGAATTCGTATATACAAGCAGAAAACGACAGAAAATCTCCGCCTTTAAGACTCCCCCCCCCCCCCGGGTAAGGGACCGGCCCCCTCCCGTCTTTGATAAGTACTAGTTACTCATACCAAAATAATTCAAGAGTTGTTTTTGCTGTTTCTGAAATGGCAGAGAGAACTAATTTAAAGCGCTATCGATACGAATGTGTGAAATGAACGCATTATACACATCTGCTAATACTTAACACTAGTACTTAACACACCCTACACATCTGCTACCGCAAGGCTGAACGATAACAATGCCGGTGTCATAAAAAAAGTAGAAGTGTTCGCCGATTGCGAGACATTCCGCAGAGAATCTTCCAAGCTAAAGTTTTTCATTTTCGCCCGTCTGGATTTCAGAAAACTGCTAATTAAATGCTTAAGGCTGCTTACGGTTTTTCCCATTCAAATTGTGATTTGCGCTGCTAACCACATCTCACCAGTCAGGGCAGGTTAATTTGCACCGCGTTTTTGCTTTTCACGCGGGGGCAACGGCCACCCAGGGGGCGTCAATCTTTAAAATTCCACTATTTTAGGCTCTGGCTCTTATTAACGGTCATTTTCAGTACCGTAAAAACGCCTACGCTCCGCTCCGACCTTATAGCTTCAGTTATTACCAGTTAGTTGCTAAACAATCGGCTAACCGTTAACGGAATCACCATGTAACTGACTCTTGACGCTCTTAACCATAGCTACCCACGTCGTACTCACGTTTCGGCTGCCACTGGTTCGTCCGCACATCGTATGCCTCCACACAGGCCAGCGCTGAATTCTTGGCAAATTGTTCGGTACGACCGCCTATCAATTCAACAGAAACACCATAAAAGGGCGCTAAGGTACATTATACCTATTACGGACTACAAATACTTCAGCAATCACACTTTCGCTATAATTATGAAACCATATACGTAAGAAACGCTCAGCTGCATTCACAGGCCCTCTCGCGCGCGGCCTGCAACCGTAGAACGTTACACAAATTCGCGTAAAATGAAAATAAATACTACGGCGGATCAGGATGTAAGAATCGCATTCCTATTACATAAACGCCACACAGAAAATTAAGAACAATTTCTGCCAAACAAATTGTCCATCTAGCATTGAATACCATATGTTCAGTACCATATACTGGTACTGAACACTTTGCCCAATACCTTATGTTCCGCTAATTAAGGGACACTGACCAGCGACATAGATGAGTCCATCGGGGCCCACGCAGGCACTGCACCCTGGCGCCAACTCCTCCCAGACGTCGCTGGCAGGGTTGTAGCAGTAAACGACTGCCGCCATCATGGAGTTGGTTAGCCGCTGCCGCTTCTTTTGACGTCCTCCAAACACGTACAAGCGGCCCTCGTACGCCACAATCGCACTGTCCCGCACAAACAACGGCATGTGTGCTCTGGCGGTCATACATTGTCGCTCGTCCTCGTACGCGTACACCCTCCCGTCAACCAGCGCATACACGGTACACCTGATCACAAATGACGACCGGCTTGCAGTACTCGTGGTCGGGAAGCGTCGCTAAAATCATCCACTCATCCAGATTGACTTCGTACACCTGCAGGTGGTGACAGACTGCGCTCTCGCCGCCGCCCGTTTTTCCCACAACGTAGACGAGCAGGCAATCGTTCTTCATGACAAAAGTCGCATCACTCATACTCTGAATCGGCGGAAGGGAGCAAGAAAAACTCCAGCTTGTGGAAGTCAGCGGATCCCGGCAGGCAATGCCCGCTGTGGGATTCTGGGGCCACCTGTCGACCCAGAAAGTACCGATGACCGGTCCTGCAAATATACCATAAACGTGCTGCAATCAAGTTTACCGTGCAAGGGCAACGATATCGAGTGCACGCACCCTGTTTTGATTGAAATCTAGTTACCCTTTGGTGGTAGCGTACCTGGTAAATTGATTCGTACCTGCACCGCTGCGTAATTTACTCATTTTTACAGCTCAGATTCTTGCCTTATAATTTTTACAATTGTGTGGTTAAGTAGTCTCAGATTTACGGTATGGGGTACATAACTGGATTTTACACACAATAGAGTGGGTGCAAATGCAATCGTTATCCTCGCTCTTGTACGGTACCCACTGAAGTTGCAAACAAGTTCATCAACTGACCATAGCTGTTGCGCGGTGCGCTATCGCGTACAGAGCTTGGCATGATAGTCTCGTGCAGCAGTTGACCAACGGGAGTGCCGGGGAGGGAAGCCAAATAATCGTTCGTCAAAAAATCAACTCGAAGATGTCGCGCCATCTCCGCTAAGTACTGGAGTCGTGGAGCAGGAGAATGATCCAACCAGCGCACAACTGCCGCAACCACCTGCTCCTCCTTCTCCACGTTCAGCTCGTCAGAGTTGATCAGTTGCGTGACCTGCAAAACCAGACAGCAGCGTAGTTAACGTTAACGGCAGTGCAGCCCTGTGCACACTGCTGAACAAACCTCAGTCGCATCCAGGCTCAGAAATCCCTCCGACGAGCTGACGCAGTTGAAGTGCTCCAGTGCAAAGGCAAAACACTACTCTGCCAGATTATTGAAGGATAGCTGCTGTGCCCCGTGGTAGATGGTGAGGCAGTTGGTGGAGTCAATGTTGGCCCGCAGGAAACCCTTACACACCTTTACAATCTCTTCCATCTCCAACATGTCCGCTGCCTGCAGCAGAAAAAGAGCGTTGCCAGCGTCCACGTTGATCTTGAAGGAGTACATGTAGCCCACCAATCTGCAACGCGCCAACAATACCGTACACTTGTTCGGCAATCAAACTACATACAAAAAAAAATTCGCAGTTACCACTCACTGCTGCAGAATGTCATGGGGAACGCTGTGCAGCTGGATGGTATCCTGTCTGGACTCCTTCATCGGGGAGAGCAGCATGCGTCGGAACCAGCCGCTGTGCGCCATCAGCAGAATGCGATGGCAGGGAATCGGCTGCACTGGTTTGAACGGATCATCCGCGCCCCGCAACGACACATCGCACAGATCGTTACGAGCTACATGTAGTCCGCGGAGAAATGCGGATCCATCGAGTTTCAGCGGGGATGGACTCTCGGATGGTTCGTGTCGTTGGCTAGAAGTAATGCATCTCAAACATTCTGCCATATCTGATAAGTACTGTAGAACTGTCTGTAGTGTGAATTCAATAACAGAAAACGGGGATAAAATCTGAACACTGGCGAAAATATGTAAAAACTTCCTCTGTAAAGCACTTGGTTGTCAAAAATCCAGCTGCCACGCGTGGCCAGTTTCCAAAATTAAAAGTTAAATCCAAAACGTGTTACGTATTTAACTAGCGAGCCTTGCGGCCTGAGCAAACTGCGCTAGGTGGCAGCTACTCGTCAAGCGAAGGCAGAAGACGAACTTTATGCAACAGTTTACCGTTTGGACAGTGGAAATTGTTAATAATTGTTAACTATATAAAATTGTTCATGTTAATAATATATTGTTGATAATCTAACGTTTGGATTTAGTATTTACATCAGTTACGTTTGTAAGGACTTCTAGACGTCTTAAGCACATATCTTATGGCTGACATCCAGTCCAATATTTTTATTTAAGTAAGTAATGTAACCCGGCCCCAGAAACAAAATTTGTGTACAGTATCACGATAATACGATTCACTCAGTCGCCATACCGTTTACATCAGTTCAACTAACAAGTTTCTCTCAGCTCTCAACCTAATGACTGTTCCGCATTAATACAGAGGCAAAACAAAGACACTACAACGAAAATCCACGAAGCAGGAAAATGTACAGCTCCCGAAGCTTTATCTTTATGTATCGGTTGCGGCTCGTTTTTTACCGATACATTCAGTGTTATCTTCGCATCCGTTTTGCCGGTGTTGGGGGCCTTTGTTGCATTGACACTCGTTATAACCACATCCGGAATGGACCGGATAACGTTGGATGATATAGGCTTATCCAGGAACATAGTAATATTTCTTCCCGACAACGGCTGCAACGGTCGGTAGTTATCCATTAAGTTATCGTCCAAATCATCCACTTCCATTCGCCGTGCCGCTGGTCGTATGCGCAGCTTGCGGAATTTCTGCAGGTATCGTTCGGTGATGGGCATCGGTGTGGAGAAGACACTCCAAACGGCGGCTTCGGCACACGGCGGGGTGGTCAGCGAGCCCATGTACCGGTAGAAAGTGCGATTTTCCGGCAGAACTTCGCCTAGTTCAAATCCGCGGAGGATGATTTTGCGCTTCTCTCCTGTGGAATACACGGTATCGAATTATTAACCGAAGAAGATTGTACAATATACTCTGTATGTTAAGTATAATATACTGTAATTTAAGCAAGTATTCTCTGGAAAACGTGCAAAAGCTAAGCGGTAATATCTGCAAAGTGAAATATACAGTATTTAGCGTTTGGACACTCCATTGTGCGCGACGGTACAAATACACAAAACGGGTAAGTACGTTAGTGACCTTTTTGCCTTACATCGCCCACCACCGTGACAGTTCACAACGTGCATGACCTTTCAGTAATAAGGTATCAAATTTTGTGATATATCAAAAATTAAATTCCCGAGTATCCTTTTTCAGCCGGTATGTAAGATGTCGGACGAGGAACAAAAATGTGCATAAGAAAACATTTTGTGTTCCTCGAAATTTCGAAGAACGCAAATCTCCAACCAATTCGAATAAAGTACCTGGGTCGTCAAGGTCATCAACGGCATCTAGCAGGACGCTCAGTTGCTCCAAATGCTTATTGCTGGTCACATTCTGCGGTTCATCCACCAGCTCAAACAGCACACCGAGCACCGCCAGGCCGACTTTGTCGGAAAGTGCTTCATCATCGAATTCGACGCTGCGCCGATGCACAATATGGAGCTAAGACACCGAAATGTCACATAATTCACCACACTGTACACCATAAAATGACCGTGCGTTAAAAGTACAATTACGGAAAATAATCGATCGAACAGGAAAACAAGAAACCACATAAAAAAGACCACGTAAAACGACGCCGCACTAAAGTACTCTATTAAGCTTGAACCTGTTGATCGTTTAACCATGAGCTCCACCACTAGATTTATGGCGACATGGATCGTAAATTTTACACCTTTCACGTGAACAGATGACAATGCAGAAATGCGTTCTTACTTCTAACGGGAAACGGCGCTCATCAATGGCGTGTTCGGATCCCCGAGCGTTGGTGCCGCCCCAGTGAAAGTGGAACTGGAGGAACACATAATCATCGGGCAGTCCGCCGCCGTGAATTTCCGGTGGGGTCACGTAGTTGCCGCTAAACTGGACTGTGAAGAAACAGGAAGAAATCGTAGTGTGTATAATACAAACATACAAGCAAGTGAAATACGAAATGTACATCGCTGTACTATATTATACTCGTCCATTTGCGATGGCATACTAAAACTGAAGTACAAGTATTTCTAAGCGTGCCGTTATGTAATACCGAATTAAATATTGTAGGAAATCTGTTACTAAATGTTCCATTTGGCGTTGTAATTTGCTTGCAACTTTTAAATATGTAATTACTAATTGCGTAAGTGTCCAAAGAACACACTTCAAGATGTTTGTTAACGTTGTAGCTCCAAGACTTACCGACATGCCCGTTATTAATAGCATCCCAGGTGCTTTTACGGGGCTCTAACGAGTAGCGGACAGTTTCGATGGGACCGAGCGATGCGTCACGCTGAACCGTTTTCGTGTTGATGTTAATGGGTGATTGACGGCTGTCAAAGCGGGATGAGTTGCACTGTGGAAACGCTTTCTGCCAGTTTTCCGGATCCAGATCATCATCGCTTTCTACAAGACACACAATGCTCATCGTTGTTGGGCTCAACGAAGACCTTTGCTAATTGATGTACTCGACATAACAATCAGATTTGTGAGCGGAGCAATGTCTTACAACGGCTTACATTTTACGCACCCAAAACGTACTCTTACAATAGTAAAATAGTAATTAATCCATAGCGCAGTAACTGTACACAATGCAGAGTAAAATAATATGTAATCTACGAGTAGCACAAACCGCGCATGCAAAGAGTTTTTTTCCACCCGCACAAACAAAGGCAGAGAAGTATACAATATCATGCACAAGCATGTGCACTACAATTTACAAATAACACAAATGATGGTAATGATAAAATAATTTTAAGGAAGTTGAAAAAACCGTGCATAAATAAATGCATGCACAAATGCTGCGCTAATACGCAAGTACGCGCAAAATTAATATTGTACAGATACGTGACGAAAGCAGATTATTAAGAGACTCGTAAACTGTGCAAAACATAGAATGTGCTGAATGTCGACATTTTAAACGATGTGAAAACAATGGCTTCTATTAATTACAAACCACTTAGCGAATGCGCCCTTAGTCAGATAGACACATAAATTCCCGCATCGCTTCAAGCGAAAAGAATGTTATCTGTTTTCATTGTTTCCAATTTGTCTAATCATTGTTGACTAATTATACATGGCAAAGGAATTTTTACGGGAGACAATGGACGTATATAAACGATCAAGCAACCAATGCTCTCTTCAACGAGTAAATAACCTATTAAATGTTGGCTTCATGATTTAATTATACAGAAAAGAGGCTAAAAACTGCAGTAGTGTATCAGGTTGTATGTATTAATGCACTTGCATGTATACTTATTAAAGTACCTTGTACTTATTTAACCCCTTGATCATTATTGTATGACCAGTTCAGTTGGCATATTGCAAATGCCGGAAGTATCTTAAATATCTTATAAAATAGTTTTACATATATTTGAGAAAAGCAGCATTTGTCCCGTATGCTCACCTTTGCTGGAACGCAGTGCACTCTTCAGTCGCACATATCCCCAGTGTGGTGGCCCGTGACCTTTAGGTTTATCCTCAACTACCGCCACATTCTGATGATCTAGAGTGATGTTGGAATTGGCATTACTGGTGTTGAGTGGAACGGCGGTGTGGGCCAGTGTAACCACAATGGTATCATTGCTGGCGCTGAGGGGAACAGTGACCGTTCCATTATTGGAGAGTGTTTCACCTTCACAACAAGCACAATCAGTGCTACAAAGTACTTAATTTTGCGCTTCCCGCATGGTTAATTTTCGCTAATACCGCGCGTGAAACATATACGTCAAATTATTAGAACCAAGCAACAATTATAAAAATAATAATAAATAAAGCATTTAAAAATGCTAAGTAAAAAGTCAAACAAACAACATAAAAATTAATTATTATGAAATATCAAAACTTTTTACAAAATCAAAAATTAGCATATTCACATTATAATTATGTTAACCGACATTAATTAGTTTAAAAAAATGCTATCTGATTTGTCTCTACCGAATGCCAGACGGGAAACCGCTAGGATAACCGCAAATACGGAAACAATATGCAGAGAATCCATTTGTACGACGGTACCGGAATATTTAATTAAATGTAGCAGTAATTTGGGTGACACACGCTGTCGACACCGGAAATGCTAACTGAATCGAATACTACTAACAACAACAGATGAGCGCCGATAAGAAAATACCCGTCCGCTCCAGGGAAAAAGTCACCAGAGTGGAAATTGTCATCAATTCATGGTTATGGACGTGTGTCGAGCAGTTATAGTAGTGAATGTTCTGCCAAATACCCCGGCACGACGCCAAATACCCTAATCAATTACGCGTAGATCAGATCATGTCATTGGTGGCTTATTAGTACTATAAACGTGATCGCTCATAAATCACACAATGCCGGTACGGTTTTTTATGGGTTTTATGTACTGGTTGCTGCCAGGGTGTAAAGTTGTTAATGGGAGATATCAGTCAAGGTTGGTAAAGCGCGTGGAGATGTATTCGTATATATTAACATCTTCATTGTGTTCATAGAGCCAAAATTAATAGTTTCTATAATGCAAGATTGATTTAACTTTTTCACGTACATTTCTTTTTTTTAATACACACTTCACGTGCGTTTTACTGAGCGCTATCTATAATACTCGTGTGGAATAAGTGTAACGAGTTATGTGAAATCAAGGAAAAAATATCTTATCATTAGATATTACGTTTACGCGGTTTAAGCCACAAATTAAACCCACAATCATACCGTTTAACTCACACTGGTATGTAGACTACGAGTCCAGAATATTTATATAAGTACAGTAATGAGTAATGCATAACTTCTCACTTCTACAAATAAACTTTAAAACATTTTTTCCTCGTTATCATTGAAAATTTTGCACTGTACTTTTCTTAAAAGTTTCCAGAATATCTAAGGAATACGGTTGACATATTTGCGGTAATTTTGATTAATTAGAAACGTGACCTTCAGAAAAAAAGAATTCGATACATGGTGACACATAATACAGCTTAATTGCCACAGGGTTCTTAATGCGTTATTTTAAAGCTAAAAAACGGTGGCCAGTACACGTGAAGAAAAACAGCTGTCTAAATATTTGGCCAATCAAGCATATTAATTTGGCATCTTAAAAAAATCTGATAGTGTTTGATCCAGGCATAGGAATGGAATGTTTATTAGCAATATATATATTAACATCCCCTGGATTTTGAATTCTGACGCGATAAGGCGTACTAAAACCGTGCTTCAAGGACTTTCCTTGTACATGTGTTGTTTTTGGTCCAACTACAGCATGCTTTATGCTTTGACCTGGTTTTTTTTCGGCTGCCAAAAAATATCAAGAAATTTTAACATGAAAAATATCAAGAAAAGCAATACTCGTACACAAGTACCTGTATTCAATACATGTTGATGCCGTGATACGGGAAGGTACATATAAAATTTCTGTTAAAATGACCGTTGAAAGGTCACACTCATAGGAAGGGTAGATCGTTCTTTCATAGCCCAACGCTACTCGGAAAGCATGCAGCACGTCTTGTGCATTTGATATCGACAAAAAAACACTGTATACTTTTTGTAATTCGATATTTTGTATATACAATAATTATGCGTTTCATCACCGTTAGTTTGAACATACGTACTTGTTGATTCTAAGCCTCTACCTAGAAATAGGCGGAAATGTGCTTTATTCAGGCGCGCAATGGCCAAATAACATTACAACATATAGACAGCCGGCGCCTGCGCATGTAGACAGTAATAAGAAATTCTAATTAAAGAAACAATACACATTAAAGAAACAATCAAAAAGGCGGGAATGACCCAAACACTTTTGAGTCGCAGTTTCTGTCAGGGACCCATGAGGTCACGCAAATTGTTGATCCTTTTCGTGCTATCACTTTCGAGTTTCGAGCACTGCAATTATCTACATCGGCCCGTTCGTTACTCGCCAATCGTCGAAGAGTTTGATTGACTACAGTTATACGCACGAGATAATAAACTGAAAAATTTTAAATACGTGTCATGCATTGTGTCATTGTAGTTTGAAGGGCGTACGTACTACGTACATTTGGTACTGCGTGTTTCACGGAGTTTCTTTAGGTGACAAGCAACGCACGTACAGGTGGCTCGTTTAATATAAAACCCGTAATTGTAACTGCGCTTAACAGAAAATTATGGAAAATCTTTGTATAACTACAACAAAGAAGAGTATGCTAATATAAACTGTACTTCTACCGGAATTGGTTGAACATAATTATGGCCTCTTCGATCATCGGTTATATTATTTAATTATGTACTGTACATTCCTACCACCTAGCGCTAGCTATGCGTCTTTGAATTATTTGTTCAGAATGCATGGTCAGATACTCTGCATATTCGCATTTTGCGCATAAAATTGTAGTTTATGTCACTACAGTGCCGCTCTACAATAGCGCTGCGCTATTGTATAGGGCAGCACTGATCACTCACAAAATCAATTATCTGTACGTACTGTACAAAACACAAACGATATCTATATATATAATACCATCACAAAGTAAAGCTTTTAGTGCAACAGTATTTATGTATTAAATGCTCTAATCTGAATGCTGTATCACTGTATGGTGTAGTTTCATGTATTTCGGAGTACCATATTATAATTAATTAAGTAATTACTAATTCGAACATCATTAATCGTATATCATTTCGAATTATTATATTACTAGTGGACCCCGCGCAAATTGCGCGGATTATGGAGACCTACTCGTACAATACTACAATCGTACAGTACTTATTTTCGTTAATAATACCACTATCGGGCTAAATACGTACTAAATCAGCAGTCACTGTTAATGAACAGCCAGCGGAACAACCAAAAACACTGGGCGGTGGCACCGTCTAAACTTTTTAAAATAAATGATTAATTTGACGACTCGGTTCACCACTTCCGCATTGCCTTTCAATCGTACTCGTATTATTTCGGTTCACAAAAAAACTTTGAAACTGTCGGTACTCGTACTACTTTTCCCTCCGTTCATTACTTACTTACTTTTACTGCCTGGCCCAACGGTCCAATTCAAAATTACCTTTGCTTGATATTTGCATTTGTTTTCACCACACATGGTTGCTTTCAAAATATTTCTGTACTGTACATTCATTTTCGTTTTTCAAGATAGTATGTGTTTCGTGTATGCTGCTACTTTAACAGTCAGACAAAATACCAATATTTATTATGTTTTCGCGCAATGAATTTCTCTACATACAGTTCGGAATAATTTCTGATAAAATTCACAAGAATTTATTGTTGCAGTGTATAAGAATAATAATTTCTGGAATTTAGGTATGTTTAAAATAACGCGTACATCTTTTCAAAGATAGCAAAATTATTGTGCAGGAAACACACTGCAAAGTGTTTTCTCACGTCGGACCATAACGGACGGTGAAAGGCGAAAACCGAAAAGGTAGTTTACCGGGTAAATGGTACGCAATGAAGTGCACGGTGTGAGCGTAATGAGAACGGTCGTGAACCAAACAAAAGGTTTTAAAAGTTTGTAACGGAGTAGTCGCCTTTACTTTTAGCTTTCAGTTTTTACTTTCCACGTCTACTTGTGGATTGAAAGGATAATTCAGAAAACACAAAAAGCAAATCTAATTTTCCATTTTCGCCAATTTTAAGATTGCTGTGTATGTACTTTTAATTTGTGTAAATTCGGGATTTTGTCATTACTGTGCCACGGAATTACGAAGCACTACGCAGAATGTCTCGTATATTGTTCCGCAAGATCCGCTGGTTCGTGTCGCCCGGTGTCACAGCTGATATGAAACTATCAAATTGGGTATTCAAACCCGAACGGCAGCATAGCTCGCAAGAAGTTTCCAAGCTTACAAAAACTGAACATAACAAACACAAAATTTCCCGGTTTTTTTCAGTTTAAAATTGTAGCAATTTCCACAGATTTACATTGCGAAACTATTGCAGCAGCTGCACAAAGTGAGGGCTGCCCGAACTAATGAGGCATTTGAGGGCAAGCACACTCCGCGTGTGCCTGCCCTCAAATTTCAAAACGGGAAATCGGGAATAGCTGTCAGATACATAGCTACAGATTACTACGTGTAGTTTTTTACAGTACGTTTTGCAAAAATCTGCAGAAATGACAACCGACCACACTTTAAAGTTTCAACGTGTGCCTTTTACCTTCGAAAATTTAAACGCAAATTAAACGAACTGGACTACGAACGGGATAATGTGTTGCAACTTGCATGCTGAAGCCGTACTTCTTCGCCGTTACGGTAAAATCAGCAGACTGAGCAGAGCCACACAACCTGCGCCAGGTGGCGGCTACTCACTTAACTGCGCTCGTTAACTGGTTTTGACGTCCCGTAGACTTTCCATGTTAGAGTTATGAATTTTTTCTCCAAATTGTTCATGTTTTTCTGAAATCTGATAACTTTGTACAAATCTACACATTCTGGGCTATCGAACGGTATATAGACATTCAAGTTTGGTTGAACGTGTCTATGACTTAGACCCTGACACACACAAATTTTGTGCACCTTCTTATTCTTTTATATAGATAGATAGATAGATTTTCTTCGCTTCCTTATTGTTAACTTCCGCAACGTGCAATATTAGTATGTTTTAAAAACTTCTAGCTGAAGTTAAATCGTATGGTTATACGCTGTACGAAGACATGTCACAATAAGTACGTACATATGCATTGCACAATTTACAAAATTAAGTAAAAAAACTTTAAAGTACGCGCCCGATTCCACATATTTACCGCTCTACAGGCGCATTTTATTGTTAATTTTCGTGTACTGTAATGTACCACACTGCCGCGTCAGTTGGGTATTCACGTGGTATTCTTCGCTGGAAAATTAGTCGTCATGATTTTAGATAAAATTATACAGCATTTATTTGCAAATAAGCGTTCAAGGCTGCGTTTTTCTCATAATCATCAGCTGACAAAAAATTAGCCGTAATATTTACATCGAACTGCGATACGCCGATAGCAGCGATACGTCCGTATAAACAACCGATCAACACGTGTAAACCGCCGATTCAAGGTAACCGCCGGCGTTGCGCGACCGCTCCTATAAAAACAGCCAATCGGAAGTGCGCTGCTGCCGGTCGTATGATATCAGCGCCCGCCTGCTTCCAGCTCACCACCGACAACTAAACACCGCTATCTTGCCGTTTTCGTCTAACGTTTTGCAAGCTCAAGGTTGTTGTCGAAAATCGCTGAATGGGTTTGATCAAATCTTCAAAATCAGTCCGTAATTTGCGGCCAATTGCCTGCATTACGGGTTACGGCGCATTATCGCATTGACCCAATCTTTTGATAAGATTTTCCTCTGCATAACAAATTAACAGCCGGCGAAAGAGCATGCTAATCGTTACTATTATCGCGGCATCACGTGCGTAATTTGTACATTAATCTATGTGAATATTCAGCAGTATTCAACAAATCAAGTGCTCATTAATTTTTGCAGATTAATCAATTTTAAAATTCGCTAAATTGGTAATTTTTTTCGCTGACCGTGTGAGTCACCGTATTTCCGCTATCGTGCAACAGGGATTTTCAGCGGATCAGCCAGGTTAGACGCTGCATCATCGGAACGTGTTTGCCTCACGTCAGTCAGCTGTTTTGTTGCGCTGCTCGTTGGCCTCAAAATTCGTTTTTCCATTTGTTGCTACGCTGGAAGCAGAACAGCGAGGCGCTCCCTATTTTTAGCCTTTTAATTTTCCCCTCATTTTTGTAGTATTTTATAGTTTTTTCATCTATATATTCTTATTTAGTTTTATTCATATTCGTATTCATTAATTTATGCATCCAAGAGGATCTGAAAATGTGATCAACGGCGGAGATGTGGTTCTGTGGCAAGTTCCTATCCATCCGCATTTTCCATCCCGTTTTTCTGTGATTGCCTGGCAAAATGATTGAAATTGATTTAGAGAAACTGCTGCGTGTCGGGGTGGTTATTGCCATTGGGGTGTCTGTGATTAGTGCGGTGCATTTAGCGTTGGAAAGTGATGTTCCTCGTACGGAGACGACGGTGCTGGTTTCGCGTGATGAGCGACGAGAAAATGCTGCAGAAAATGACAACAGGAGTGTGCTGGCCAGTGCAGGATCTGCGGACCATCGACCCGTTGCTGATGTAATTTTGGACGGGAAGATGGATGAGGAGAAGACGCTGGTGGAAGATAAAACTGCCAAGGCTGTTGTTGTTAAACCCGATGCTAAAAAATCCAGGTAGAATCTGGTAGATTTTCAAGTCAGATTTGACACGCACGTTTCCTGTATGGCTTACCTGTTGCAATTAGCACCTGCACTGGAAAGTGTTGGGATTGCGCATTGTTATCTAATCGTGCTTCATTAGTTGATTCTTCCGGTTTATTCGAAGTGTTCTTCTGTACACTGTACGAGAGACAGCGCAGCAGCGTACAATGACTCGTTGGTTGCGCCTAATTTGCATGTGTGAAAACAGGTCGTTGATCTCATAATTTTCTCAAAGTTTAAGCTGAAGATGCGATGTTGTGCATTTTAAAAGTTGCTGCAGAATTTGTGGAAAATATGGAAGCTTCTAATTTTATCGTGATTGCAGTGATGTGGAAGGTGATTCGGTCCTGTTGATTGGTGGCATCGACGGCAGTCTGACGGCGTTCAGTTCCAACGTGGAGGCTGAGGTGGATGCTGCGCAGATTCGTCCGTTGTGGACGTTCCACTCTAACACGGGGCCGTTGGTGTCATCCAGTTTATCCAAAATCGAGGTATTGTGATTAAGAGAAATTAATTGGTTATTTTCTGGAGTGGTTTTCGGTGAATTTTGAATTCGCATGCAGAAGAAAGTAAAAGCGCACACATTTTTGGTTTTATTTTAACGATACTCGTAGACTTAAAAATTTTAAACGGTTTGTTTAAGTTTAAAAGGTTGGTTTGTTTAGTTTACTCTCTTTTAATGCTTCAATAAAAAAAATACTGAATTTCTTTAATGTTTGCTGTTATGATTCATAAGAATTAGTTGCCACATGGCGCTGAAAATTATAGATAGCGAAACTGATAATAATTGAAAATTTGTGTCGGTGATCAGTTTGTCTAGCACAACTGTACGATGTATGTACATTCTTCTGTGATTGTGATAAGTATGAATTTTTTCTAGAAAGTTCTCTTCTGTTCCGCTGAGCATTTATCGCATGCGCTGTTGACTAACAATTCAGCCACTCGGGGTAATGGCTTTATGTTGCATTTTTGCAGCTCGTAAAAAATGGTTTGCCAATCCAACTGATTCCTTCGTTGGACGGGAGTCTGTTCAGTTTCGATGGGCAGACCATTGAGCCGTTGCCCGTATCTGCCGACACTTTATTAAGCTCATCGTTTAAGATTTCGGAAGATTCTGTTGTTACTGGCGGGAAGGAGACCGTTGTTTATGGATTAAATCCAAGCACTGGGAAGGTAAGCAACTGTAATGCGTTCTAAGGAAAAAATTGTACGGTAATTTTATCCTAGCAAAATTTGATTTAATCAAGTGCATACATAACTCAGTTGTTTTTAATAAAATAGTAGATTTTGATTTTTGTAAATCTTTTTTCTCGATAATTAATTAAAGGCGTCCTTCCGGAACATTACAATGAATGCATGCCGGTTGCATTTCCCGTGAACTGTATTTTATGGTTTTAATTTAATGGATATTTTAGTCTTTTTTATTTATCTGGGTATTATTCGACCGGGCTTTCTTGGAATGTGCTGCATGTCCCGTAATCTCATTATATGTTTAGAAAATGTGTCTTTCCATCAGGTAAAGTACACGTGCGGCGTCGGTGGATGTGTCAGCCAGTCGGCGGAAGTGCCGCAGCCGTCATCCGATGCCGACTCCGGCACACTGCTGATCAGTCGGCTGAGCCAGAGCATCCGGGCGTTCGACGTACACAGTGGCGGGGAGAAATGGAATTTCTCCGTGGGCTCGCTGGAAGTGGCCATGGCGGCCGGCGGGACCAGTCGCTTCCAGGGCAATGTCCGTGTGTGCGAGGTGGGGGACGATGTCGTGCTGTCGGACCGGAAGTCGGCGCAGTTCCGCTTTGATGTCGCCAATGGACGCATTGTGGCGTATTCCCAGGGGGACGATAAGGAATTATGGCAGTATCAGGTATGATGGGGATGAAGTTAGATCTTGGCTGATATCTTTATCGGTTATCCGAAAATAAGGCTCATAGTATGAGGTTTTGATACTTTACATCAGTTTAATATGATTGTCAGTTGGTAAATTAAATAGCGTTAATTTTCCAGTTTGAAAAAATTGTTGTAACATTTTTATTAACTAGGCGGTTTTTTTCTGCGATTTTGTGGCACTGATCAGATTCAGACAATCTTTTAGAATACTGGTGTAAAGTATAAAAATAAAGATCTGACAACGTTGATACTTGTAGTTTTATTCCTTGGGTGAGTAATTTCTGAATTCTTACTGTGATTTTGCTTGTTATTTATGAACAGATGAAACATCCCATAACCAGCGCATTTTTAATGGAAAACGGCTGTGTACGACCGTTGAATTTGGTGACGGAAGTGCCGCCGTATCGGGATCCTCTGCTGTCTCAAGGAGAGAGCAATCAGCTGATTTATGTCGGTAATGCTCTGCCGAACAACAATAATAAGGCTCAACCTCTTTAATGGCTTTTTACTGCTATTTGCAGGATTTTATGAGAATCAGTTGTACATACAGCGAGCCGGAAGCGTCGCCGATATGCCGATGCGGCAGAAATTCCCGCAGGTCACATTCCGACCGCTGCTCATTAACGGTAAGCGGACCAACGGCGTTGATTAATTAGCATAATATTTATTTCATTATTAACACATTTTGCAAGCATTAACGTGGAAAATAATTGTAACGTAAAAAAGTACTGCGGAATTAAATTGAATTTATTTCTTGAACGTTATATTCCTAAATTAATGAAGCTACATTCGAGTGCGACCGGCGGCGTTAAGCTTTTGTACTACAATCTTCGGTGTACTTAATGTCTAGAATGTGTACTTATGCATTTTGTATCTGTTTGTTTAACGGCCGGCATTACGCAGCTCCATCCCGAACACCGGCCATTTCCGACGCATACAGTCCTTTCCTGGGCAGTGCGCTGGCCAAACCGTCGGCCAACGACAAAGCCTTGATGCCCATTGGTCCGAATGAGTACCCCTTCGATGGCGGATACTTTGTGGCCTTCCCGGATCGTACGACGAAGGATTCCCCCGTCAGTCTGCCGGGGAACGGCGGAGAGAAGCCGCCGAATCACAGCATGCTGGAGCAGATTATGCGTCGCTGGCAGACCATCACCGGGTTGTTTTTGTTGCCGTTGGTGGTGACGGTGATGCTGCGCCGGCATTATAAGCAGAAGATCTTCCAGCTGCAGTCGGAATCCGATTTACTGAAGCGACAGAATACCACGTCTAGTTCCGGGACGCTGACGAGTGTCATCAGCATGCAGGAAACACAGCCAAAGCACAGCCGGTACGTCGATGTCGTGTTTCTAATATTAATAATTTTCTTCAGTGATTTATTTAGTTTTTGTGGTTTTGACGTTATTTTAAGCGACTTTTATTCCTTTAAGTTTTGGACGCTAGAATTTGCGTACTTGCTCTATTTTTATTTGTTGTGTTGCGATTTACGCTTGCTGTATTGATCCCCTTTAATGAATTGCTTTTGATGTCGTGTTAGTTTTTGGACTAACATTAATCCGTAGTTGAGTTTATTTTATTATTTATTTTATTTTGTTTATATTTTTATTTTATTATTTTGTTTTTGTCTGTTGGGTTTATTTTAGTACAGTAATTCTTTTCTGATAATAACTGTCTGAACTTTTGCAACGTGTTCGATTGGGGCACTAACTGGAGCTGACTCATATCCACTATTATCCAGGCCTTGTTGTCGTCGTCAGTTTTGTATCTGTTATCAAAAGTGTTATGGTTGTCGGGCGGTATTTGATGATTTCGTTGGTATTCGGCAGATTCCGATCGGATTTCGAGGTGATTGAAAAGCTGGGCAAAGGCGGATTTGGAGTGGTTTATACAGCCAGAAACCGCTTAGACGACAACTTGTATGCTGTCAAGAAAATTGGACTACCCAAGAGGTGAGTCGGGTGTGCTTGCTCATGTAAAAAATGTGATTAACCGGTAGAATTTGATCAGCGCGTCAACGGACAAATTGCGTGCCACGAAATCGAGAACGTTTTTGTCTGTTAGTTTTGTGTTACTAGTACTTATTTACTTGCTGGTGTTTTGTTTCTTATCTTTAATTTGGTCTCGGCATTTTTAATACAGTACACGAAGTTATATAAAATTTGAATTTTGGGTGAAGAATTGAATTTACCTGAATTGAATTTGATACATTAGTAGTAATAATGATAAATATTTTTTAGTAATATTTATTAAAATTTCATTTGAGTGAATTATCGTGTAAATTTGTAGTGACGCTGCTCGGGAGAAAGTGCGACGGGAAGTCCGCGTCCTGGCCAAACTAGACCACGTGGGCATCATTCGCTTCTACAACGCCTGGGTGGAGACCAGCGATCCCGAATCGGACCTCCCGGACACCGACATGGACGAGGATCCGCACAACCGCGGCGACCATCCCACCTGCGAGCCGACCTCCATCTCCAGCGCTACCTCCGCCGATCTGAACTGTCTGTACATTGGGACGCAGCGGAAGAAACGCAGCTTCGTGGAGGTGGGGGTGCCTCTCTCTGGGAATGAGCTGACGGATTCCCTGCGCTTCGTCCCGGATTCGGGCGACGGGAACGAGGGGGAGGCTAGCGTGGTGTTTGAGGCGGATAGCGGGGTGCCGGAGAAATCAGAGGCGGAGCAGATGGGCGTGCTGGAGATGGCCGCGACGGAGGTGATGGATAGCCAGTCGGATGGGATTGTCTTTGAGGAGCCCCCGGGCGCCGGTGTGGTGGAGAAGTCGAAGCGGCGACGCTCGCGCTCGTCGACGAAGAAGAGCACGCCGTCGTTATCGGGCATGTCGGAGCTGGAAGAATCCGAGGTACGTGTTTTTATGAGTTATGAGTACAGTTATTGATTTCTTAAATTTTTGAAGTTGCTTAAATCTTTTAAATTTGATTTAATATTCTTAAGAATCTGATGTCTCTCTGACTGACGCCTTGATTCAAGAAGCTTATTTTTAAAATTTTTTTATTTAATAAGTAGGCAATGTAATTGTGTTTTTCTCCACGACAACGTATGAATTTGTGACTGGTGAGTGGTGTCGAGTGGCAAAAGTACTTAATCTTTTAAAATAATGGTTACACGCTTACAGTATTACCGAAACTTCTTCCATTATTTATTTGGTATGTAATTTTCAATTGTTAATGTTGTAAGTTATTTTTTACTTATTTATTTATGATGTGTTTTTTAATTGGCTTTTTGTAACGAAATTATCGGTTATTTATTTGCAATGTGTTTTCGATTATTGATTTGTAATCTGGTTCTTCATTATTTATTTTTAAACTATTTCTCAGTTGTTTGTTTGCGATCTACTTTTCGTCTGTTTATTTTGTTACCTGTGTGTCTAGTATTTATTTGTAATTTATTTTTCGATTATTTTTAGGCGGCCGGAGATGAAACGGACGGCGCGGGAAAACTCGGACGGAAGAAGATTCTGAGCAAACCGCAGTTGTTCATTCAGATGGAGTTGTGCCGGAAGGAGACGCTGAAGGATTGGTTGAAGAGCAACGTGGAGCGGCGCATCCGCAATCACGTGCTGGACATTTATTATCAGATTGTCAGCGCCGTGGAGTATGTGCACGCCAAGGGCCTGATGCATCGTGATCTGAAACCCAGTAATATTTTATTCTCCTTGGATGGCCGGGCGGTGAAAGTGGGCGATTTCGGGCTGGTGACCAGTCTGGATGATGAGGAGCGGCTGCGCAGTGTGGTGCCCATGGTGGAGGAGAAGAACTATCTCAGCATCCACAGTCATACCAATCAGGTAAAGGGAATGATACCGCCAATCTTAATCAATCCGAAATCTTAATTACTGTTTTGGTAAATTTTAATGATTTAATTCTGTAATATTGCCGCAGTCGATTTTTCCCAGGCGATTTATTATGTGGGAATTTAATATCGCGTTTTGTAAGGAGTGGTACAGTACCACTTATTTGGTTTTCGAGGTTTTAATTTGTTTCTTCGAAAGTTTGTTTTAGTGCGGTAACACTTTGTCTGATATTTTCAAGAGTGAAGGATGAACGCTTTGTTACATTGATAATTTCCAGTTATTTTGTACGAGAAGAGAGAGCTGCTTTTACTTAGGTTTTAAGTTTTTTTCCTTGACTGCGTCCGATGCTTACCTAAGTTTCAGCTGCTTTAGATTTGCAGAATTCCAGACTTTTTTAATTCTTTTAAGAAATTGTTGAATAGTAAATCCTTTTTTTGTCGTTTCGCTTGCTGGTATTGATTGTTGACTTTCCTTTCGACAGGTCGGCACCTCTCTGTACATGTCGCCGGAGTTAGTCCAGGGTAAAAACTACGACGAAAAAGTGGACATGTACTCGCTGGGCCTGATCCTCTTCGAGCTCCTCGTCCCCTTCCAAACCGAGATGGAACGCATGTACTGCATGCGGGCGGCCAAGAACCTCCAGCTGGACGATCTGAAATCCCCGGCGGCCTGCAGCTACCCGGGCGACGAGCCCTGGCTGCGCCGTCTCCTGGCCCCGCAGCCCTCGCAACGGCCCAGCGCGGTGGTCCTGCGCAGTTGTGATCTGTTCCGCGATTTGTTGGTGATGATGGAGAGCGGTGGTGGTCATCGGCACCGGGGCCATTCGGTGTCGTTGGCGGATTTCTTCCCCGAGAAGAAATAATCGTGATGCGCGTCGGCCGGTGCTTTCCTGTGGATAATCTCCTGTGTTTTGTGTGGATGATTGAGGATATTTGTTTTTATTAACGGATTTTGTTTAATTGGGTGTGCGTGTGGTGGAATCAGGGAGTTCTTGGACTGGTTGATTTTTTTATACTTGCCTTTATTTTAAAAAGGAAAAAATTCCAAAAAATTCTTTGTGATCTTTTTTAATCTTCTTTCCATAGTTTTTTTGGCGCACAGGTGATTTTTTGGGAGCTGCCTTGGGGGTTGTTTTTGTACCATACATGGTTTGATTTGCTGCTTAAAGCAGGGATTTGTTTTTCAGCTGATCGTTGATCGGATTGGGCTGCATTAAATTCGGCTTTCTCACAGTATCGTAGGCCTGAAAAATGAGAATGCGACCGATCATGTTGCCGGAAATTATGATGTTTCATACACCTACTGTGTAATTAAACATCACACTCGATCCAAACACTTGACTAACAAATTCCGCTGCAAACTGCTGTACTCGTACTCGTGTGCAAATAGAGCTCATTTGACCAATGACGAGTAAGCTGCTAGCCAGCGTAGTACAGTATGCTCAGGTAGTACAATATTAAACGGTTAACTGCAGTATGTACGAGTACAATGCTTACCTCTGCACGTTCTGGCTAGCTATTAAATTTTTTATAAATTTTAGAATTTGGTTAGATTTTTGACGACTGCACTCACTACAGTATTCTACAGGAAGATAATCTTTGCATATTATCGTTGGTGTTCAATTCATCGTCGTGTTTATCTTCACTTCCCGTTTTTTTTGTTGGCTTTGTTCAGAGTACTTCAGACAAAAGTATCGGTCAGAGATGGCACAATGTGTAGCTTGCACTGCTGGATCTTCTCGCCAGCGACACGATCAATCCGACAATCCATCTTCGCTGAAACTCGATGGATCCGCATTTCTCCGCGGACTACAGGGTGCCCGTCACGACTTGTGCGATGTGTCGTTGCGGGGAGCGGATGATCCGTCCAAACCAGTACAGGCGATTGCCTGCCATCGCATTGTGCTGATGGCGCACAGTGGCTGGTTCCAACGCATGCTGCTCTCCCGATGAAGGAGTCGAAGCAGGATATCATCCAGCTGCACAACGTTCCCCACGACATTCTGCAGCAGTGAGTATACTTCCTTTTTGTAGCATAATTCTCGACAGGTGTGTGGTGTTATTGGCGCGCGTTGCAGATTGGTGGACTCCATGTACTCCTTCGAGATCACCGTGGACGCTGGCAACGCGCTGCTCCTGCTGCAGGCAGCGGATATGTTGGAGATGGAACAGATTGTGGAGGCGTGTAAGGCTTTCCTGAAGGCCAGCATCGACTCCATCAACTGTCTCACGATCTACCACGGGGCACAGCAGCTTTCCTTCAATGATTTGGCGGAGGAATGTCTAGCCTTTGCACTGGAGCACTTCAAGTGCGTCAGCTCGTCTGAGGGATTTCTCTGTCTGGATGCGATCGAAGTGTGTTGAGTAGTTTGAGCATGGCTGTCCCTTCGTTAATTACGTTGCTGTCTGTTTTGGCAGGTGATGCAACTGATCGGCTCCGACAGGCTGAACGTGGAGAAGGAGGAGCATGTGGCTGCGGCAGTTGTGCGTTGGCTGGATTATGCACCCAAAACCCGACTGCCGCATGTAGCGGAGATGGCTCGACATCCTCGGACCGGAATGCTGATGGCCGACTACCTGGCTTCCCTTCCCGACACCTCCACTAGTCGACACTTGCGCCAGGCTATCCTGCCGGTCCTCGCTGGCGACAGCGCCCCTACACCAGGCAGCTCCTACGGTCAGTTGCTACACTTGTCTGCGAATATAACGTTACTGATAGTAGTGCTGTGCACGTACGTGGGCTGCGCTACTAAATAAACGATCAATCAATCGTGGTGTATTTGCAAGACCGGTCTTCGGTACTCTGTGGGTAGACGACACGTCCGGAAAGTGCAAAGCTGGCATTGCCTGTCTGGATCCGCTGACGTCCAGGAGCTGGAGTTTCCCCTGCCCCTCTCAGTTTATTTATCGCACGAGTGCTGCGACCTATACCGTAAAGAATGATCGTCTGCTCGTTTACCTTATCGGATGGACGGGTGACGTTGGCACATTCAACCATCAACTGCAGGTGTACGATGCCGACCTGGATCAATGGGCGAATGTGGCGGCACTTCCAAAGTATTCGTATGGCAAGCCGGTCGTCATCGGTGATCAGGTGTACGCTCTGATTGACGGGCTGGTATACGTGTACAAGGAGGAAAAGCAACGTATGACCGCCCGATCACGAATGCCGCAGTTCTTTCTGGGCAGTGCGGTTGCGGTATGCGAGGGCCGCTTGTACGTGTTTGGAGGACTTCGCAGCGAGCGGGACCGGTTTAGCAGCGCCATAACCACGGCTGCTTCTTACTGCTACGATCCTGCCCGTAACGTCTGGGAGGAGCTGGCGCCCATGCCGACAGCGCGGGCCGACTGCAGTGCCTGCGTGGGTCCGGATGGACTCATCTATGTTGCTGGTCAGTGTCCCTTAGCGAGCATACTTCATTGGTTTTATTCAATAGAAAATGATGGATAATGCTTACGTATGGCGTAAATTGTTCCTAAGTGGCCATTGTGCCGGTATGGCGTTCTATAGGAATATTACTCTTCCAGACATAGAATCATTATTATTTACTATCTTATTATCCAATAATACCGGCATTGCAGTATTTTGATTGTACTGTACGTGGGTTCGTGTACCTTTCTTGTTTTGTGTTATTTACGCTTTGGCCTATCGTCTGCCAGGATGGCGACAATCATTTAAGTAATTAGTATTTTGATTTATTAGAGTAGATTATATTACGACATATATATAGTACAGTACAGATAGATATGTAGGTGAATTAGCTCTGTGAGAACACATATGGTATATAAAAGTAGGTATAATATAATTATCTATGAGAGCGCTCTGGTGAATGGTGGAAATGTGTGTTTTTATGAATGGTGTTTTTGTCGAATTGATAGGCGGTTATACCGGAGTACCTCACTGGAATTCAGCGATCGCCCGTGTGGAGGCATACGATGTGCGGATGAACCAGTGGCTGACGAAGCGTGAGTACGGGTGGTTAACGTCAATCGTAATCGATGATTCCGTAAAAGACTAGCCGATTTTTTGGCAGCTAAATTTTTTATTAGCTAAATGTACGGTCAAAGCTGAAAACAGGCGTTTCAGTAGCATGGTATTAGCTGGAGATATCGGAAAAATTACGGTTTAGACCAGCACCGTTCCTTCGTACAGCGTTCAAACGGTTTTTTGGGGTTTAGATGACATGCAGTGTGCCAGAATGGAGCTCGGGCTCGTGCTGCTGAACAACACACTATACGCGGTGGGTGGCTGTCGCCCGGGGGGAAAGAAAGGGAGCCCGGCCATGGAGAGTTACGACACGGCCACGGATCGCTGGACAGGGTGTGGTGCACCGGCGTTTCATTCAGCCCAGTGGTGCGGCTACGGCTGCAAAGCTGGCTGCAAAGCTGAGCGCCAGTTGGTGCCATGCGGTCGATTCCTCGGCGTGATGCCGCGGCAGATTATCGAGAAGATGTTGCAGCGCTGTGATGCTGCTGGCGCGGCGAGTGGCTAGCTGGCATGGTGGTTGGTGACAGTCGATTCTTTCTTCCGTGACTCCAAAAATTAATGGTTGCATTTCACAGCGGATATTGTCTTACCTGTCGCTATGTTATACTTAATTAGCTGCTTTCCCCCGGTATAACATTTTTTATTTGTACTACCAAAGTTTATTGAAAGCTGTTTATACTGTTTGTGATTTTTATCTCGGTTTTGGAGCGTGCATACGAGACGGTCTTAGCGTTTAATGAACTGGGACTGTGATCCGGTGTTTTTGATTCCTGAATTCAGTTATTACTAGCAGATAAATGTTTTTACATAGTTCTAGTTGTGTGCCGGTGTGCGCGCGTTCTTCCTGGTTGAGCTCGCTGGTAGCACGACAACTCTATGACTTTCATCTCGCTGACCGACAATTTGCTGACCGACTTGTTGCTGACTACCACAACTTGCTGACCGACAAATCGTTGACCGACACTTCCCTTTTCTACAAACTTGCTGACCGACATCTTGCTGAAACCAATTTGCTGAACGACAACTTACTTGTCGGTCAGCGAAATGTCGGTAATCGACAACTCGTTGACCGACAACTTGTAAAAAACGAAAACTTGCTGACCGACAATTTGCTGACCTGTTCAACGCACATAAGCAAAATTTACGCAAAAATTAAAATCTACGTTTATTTCATAAAAAAGAAGCACTACAGTGACATTTATAACTGAAATCTGACTTTTGCAGTTTATTACGCCATACTCATTTAACCAATTTGTTGTTGTCTTAGTAAATAATAATTATTTATTAATAGTTTTTATTAATATATTTATAATTACACCGGTGGTATTCGGTCTGCGGCGTAAGTATCTGTATCACCATCAAAACTCAAGTCAAACTTGTATCATTAGTGGTAAAGTGTTTCTGCACAGCACGAGAACGGATTTCGTTACTGCATACGTATGCGCACAATAGCATCCTGCTGTTTGCACAACCTGGAAACAAATATCTGCCAGTAACAGTATTGTTCATTCACTAAGTGACCAGGGTCAGTACCTAGAACCTAGCAGTGCATATTGAGAATGCATTTAGCAAAGTCCGGCAAGGCAACTGAACTTTTTACGGGGATCGCCGGTACTATTTAAACTTTGAACTTTAGTCGCATTAAGTAATTGATTTTAAGTAAGGCAATCATTTTGCCAAGTGATATTCTCGAGGGAGTTTTAACATGGCGCACACTATTTCCTATTCGAAAACACAGCGCGGGAACGCTTTGTTGCTTTTGGATGAAGTTCATTCGTATACGCTTGAGCAGAAGAAAGGAGAAATGGAATACTGGACTTGTCAGAAGCGAGGACGCCCACATTGCTGCAAAAGCCGGCTGCGGTTAACAGCAGGAGAAGTTGTTGCGGTATCCGATCACAATCACCCGGGAAGCAAAGCTGATATTCTGGCCCACGTCGCCCAGCAAGATGTCAAGAAGCGGGCACTTGAAACGAAAGATACTCCGCGGCAGATCATGCAGGCTGTAACCAAAGATATGTCGTTGGTGGCAACTGGTAAAATGCCGGCATATTGCGCCCTGCAGCGGACCATTGAGCGTACTCGGAAAGCTGATGCCGGTAACCTTCCATCGCCAGACTCACTGAGTGATATCGACCCGGATCTCCTGAATGTGCTTACCACGCGTGGACAACTATTCCTCCTGAAAGACACTGGAGCCGCTGATGCCGAACGAACTGTAATCTTCGCCACCACTGAAAACCTCAAACTCTTGGTTAAATCTGCAGTTTGGTTTTGCGACGGAACGTTCAAGGTTGCGCCACCGCTGTTTGCGCAGTTATATACAATCCATGGTGTGGTTGAGACGAAAGTTTTCCCTTTGGTGTACGCACTGCTGCCGCATAAGAATGCGGAAAATTATCAAACCGCTTTCCAGGCCATCAGAGAAAAGATTGTAGATGTGCTTCCACACGGAACTGTATATAACGGACCCGCATACTGCATCATGGACTTCGAGCAGGCAGCAATCAAATCCTTTCATAAGGTGTTCGATAAATCCGCACTTCAAGGTAAAAATTGTTGAATCGTGGCTTTACGTTTTAAGGACCGCTAGTTTCTTAAATATTATAAATTAATGCGATGTAGATTTATTGTTTAATTTGTGATAGTCGAAAATAACCGAAAATCCAGTCTATTCAATTCACAGCGTGACAAAAGATATAGCTTTTATTGTCTGATTTATCTAATTTTTTGATATATCCTTTGTTCTTTAAAATTATTAATAATTTCTTTTCTAGGCTGCTTATTTCATTTGGGACAAAGCGTTTATCGACAAATTCAGGACACGGGCAACACTACAAAGTATGCAGCCGACCTAACTTTCAACCTTCACTGCAAGATGGTACTGGCGTTAGCATTCGTTCCTCCCTCTGACGTCAAAATGGCGTGGTTAGAGTTGCAAGGTACGAGCGGTTGGACTTTACCAAGCAATCATGCTTTATCCGAATACTTTGCGAAGCATTACGTTGGGCCTTTGACGCGTAGTGGAGGCCAGCGAGCGCCCACTTACGCCGTGGCGTTTTGGAGCTGTTATGACCGGGTAATCAAGGATATCCACCGAACGAATAATTGTGTCGAAGCGTGGAATAACGCATTCACTCAAACTGTCGGCAAAAAGCACCCCGTAATCTATGACTTTATTCGAGCTTTGCTTCATGAGCAGGCACTACAGGAAGTCGCCATTAACGATCTGCAAACCGTGCAAGGTTATGACCGGGCAAATGTGGTGGCCTATCTGCAGAACATCGCAGCTAATATACGGTTCGGAATTTAAGGTTAAATGTTAGAATTTACTTGTTTCGGTTTTTTAGTGAGTACAGACTGATATTCTGGTAACCTTACACTCACACTTGCACTCTGTTGTAATAAGCATGTCATAAGGATAGCACTATAAGATTAATATTAGATAAATAAATGCTTACTGGTATAATATAAGATAACATCTGTGCCATTAGTGTCATCCCTTCTGGGTTGCATTTGTACTTGTAGCATCTTTGTAGCCTTTTATTCGAAATGGTGTTTTTGTTTATTTGTTTATCACAATGATTCGATGAATAACAAAAATAATAAACTGGTGGTCAGCGAGTTGTCGGTATTTCCACGAATCGTCGGTCAGCAAAATGTCGGTCAACAACTTAGTATGTAAGCAAATTGTCGGGTAAACATTTTGTCAGTCAACAAAATGTCGTCAGCAAATCGTCGGTGTCAGCAAACTGTCGTTCAGCAAAATGTCGGTCAGCGTTTCGTCGTTTCAACAAACTGTCGGGTCAACATTTAGTCGGTCAGCAAATAGTCGTCAGCAATTTGTCGGTCAGCAAGATGTCGGTCAGCAAATTGTCGGTGCGCCGAGCTCGCTATCGTGCTGACATAGTGCCGAATTGTACCCGGCTTGGCTACTCAATTAAAACAATCAATCAGGCAATCGGTCATGCCATACAGAAGCTTCACCGCTGTCCACAACTACCGTACTCTTTGACCCACCATACGCAGTTTATAGAGTGGAAATACGGTCTGGACTCCGATTACACTCCGCTCTGGACTGCGTGGCTGTACACAAAAGAAACACAAACAAACCATGAAAAATTTCCAACGTCTGAACAATTCATATCTCATGGCAAGCCTCCCAAATTCCAAATTAATTTCCAACGGGTCCATGTTAATTATAAAAGTTTTGAAAGCCGAACACATCCGTGAACAAATCATCAAGCTGGACATCCGCAGGAGCGCATCAGCGGCGATTACTGCAAAAATCTTTCGTGCCGGCGAAATGCCAAATTTGGTTGCATTGCAAGTGCGGATCTTGAGCTTGGTAAAAGACTTCAGCGACATACTGGAGAATCCCGCTCCCACGAATTTCTGCGACAACGATTATCTCTGGAATTCACCATTCAGAGAGGGAACGCGGCATCTGTATTGGGAACCGTGGGCGAAGCGGATAAATTTAACGAGATTTATTTGCTATAATTACGTATTCGTTTATTTATATTTTGTAAACAAAAGTGTAATGGTGCAATATACTCAATAAAGCGAGTGCGGATGGGAAAAGATCTGGTGACTAAGCGGCGGGATTTCTCTCGTTTAAAGAATGTCCGCATGATCACATTTTTCTACACCACTAAACAGGAATTGGAGTCGTATACGTTTACTGATCTGCGAAGCTTATCGCTGGAAAATGGACTATCCATCGATCTGTACCATATGGAAGATTCATTGTTTCGTCAAGCGCTATTTCCCCACGCACTGCAAGAAAGGGACATGGAAAAGGTCAAACGGCTGCGCTGTGATTGCTCTTTCGTCTGGTTTCGGAACTTTCTCAAGCGGAAGCCGCATTTAGTTCAGCCTAGGCAGGAGGGTGAGGTGATCAGCATCGGCAATTATATTAGCAAGAGTTTCCAATACGGTGCGTCCATGGGACCTGTGAGCGTGGATTGCTGTGGCAGTTATACGTTCTTCGAGGAAGGAGAGTATTCGTACAATACGACGTACTATAATGTGACTTGTCCAAGAAGTTGTGCGAGGGTCTACAATTTCGGATACAGTACAATAGGTACAGTTTTAGTAGTTTTTCACTTTTTGAGCGTCGTTCTTTGGCTTCACGATAAGTGTTTCCCTTGATCGACCGGAGCGTAGCGAAGGTCCTCTATATTCAAAACTAATGCATTAATTGATTTCTGTCCGTTACGCAAACCCGTTACGGAAGTTCGTTACGGAAGTTCGTTACGAAAGTCTGTTACGGAAGTGCGTTACGGAATTTGTTTAACGAAGTAACCCTATGAGGTCACGCTGCAGACCGTTACGACGTCACTTCCGCCAGTGCCTGTAACGTCACTGCTGGCTTTATACAGCGGTCCTGTATTGCTGGATTTATGCCCGTTACGCTCGCAACACTCGATGCACAAATAAATCCCATGCTACTGCGTAAATGTACACGAGTGAAAGGCAATAATGGCCTCCGGCAAACGTATCCTCTTGGAATATTTTTCTGCATCCCCTCCACCGCCATCGGCAGGATAGTAATGTATTTCTGCAAAAATTAGCCAACGGTTGCGTAGCCCGATGGTACGTATCCACTGATGATTATATTTCAGCAAAATCAAAGAACCGGTTTTGGAGCCCGCACTTTTGGTTCGGCGATTGCGTCCAACACGGTTCAGT